CAATTGTTCAAATTTGAACTTTTATCTTTAAATGACCTTGACAGAAATGACTGACTGTCAAGGGCAAGTTATTAAATTTTGCTTAAATTTGATTACTTTGTTATCTGTATATGGATTTGATTCATATTTGGCAAAATCACAACTGACATGTTGAATTATTGAAATACATGTATGACCTTGACTGTCAAGGTCAAAATATTGAATGTGGTTTGAATTATGATTACTTTGTTATTCTTTTTAATCATTTGATTCACTTTTGGACAAACTAATAATAATTGCAAAACCAACATGTTGAAGTATTAAAGTTTGACTTTGAACTATTGACATGACTTTTACTGTTCTTGGTCAAATGATTGAAAATTTGTTTTGATTGCCAGATTTTTGCTATTTGATTGCCATATTTTTGTTAAAAATGGAGAGATTTGATTCATAATATGAAAGAACACAAATGACACTAACCACATGCTAAATAATTAAGAATATAAACCTTGAACTGACTGTTAAATATAAAATTCTAATTTTCTTTAAAACCCTTAATTACAACATTCTTCGTCCCATGAGTCAGTGTTGCTCCCACATAATGGTGACTCTTTTTACCTCCACTTTTCGAAGAAAAAGGTTAAGGTATTGTCATGACCCACTTTTTGGTGTTGGCATTGGCGTTGCATTGCTAAACCTTTTTAGTTAAGTTTTCCTTTATGGTCATTAACTTCAATACTAACAAAGGTATACAATTGAACTTCATATGTGGATACACCTTAATGAGTTCTACATGTCACAGTTATTTTAAGGTGAAAAGTCAAGGCCTCTGTGACCTGTAATAGGAAATAAGTTAAGATCCATTTTATCAGAAACAACCAAAGCTATTTGACTGCAAACTTGTTATCCTTGTTAAAATTATATTTTACAAAGTTATGCCCCTTTTTTTCTAGTTAACATTGTTAAGATTTAGCTCTACAAGTAATTTCTTGTTATCACTGTTGATGGCAAATGCAAGGTTAACAGATACTCATGTCAAGGTATGTACTGATAAGGTTAAAAGTATAATCTATAATTGAAGACATTTAGAAGATATTATTTATCAGGTGACACAAGTACCTCTTTAGCTCAGTGTGTTTGTACCAGCTGAGTTGCAGTTATTTGTGTTCCAATAATATTGGATCTGTTTTGTATAAGTTCCATAGTTGATATTGGATCAGCTGCTTGTGTTTCAATAATATTTGGTCAGTATCAGTTTTAAATATGTTTCCAAAATTGATATTGGATTAGCTATTTGTGTGATGTATTACATTGGATCAGTTTTAAAAATACGTTATGATATTGAGTCATTTATTTGTGTTTCGTTAATTTTGGGTTAGTTTTAAATATGTTCCACAAGCAGTTTTGAATTTGCCTTGAATATGTTCTAAATTAGATATTGGATCAATTTTAAATTAATTTGCAATTTTAGATTTTCAAAAGTTGACCATGCTCTTCCTGGAAAAATACAGGAAAGACGAAACAATAGAGTAATGTCATTGTCATTTAATATTTATAACAGTTAGTGTACTGTGATGACAATTATTTTGCATCACATCTCTTTTTATACAAATACTGAATAGATATTTATTATTCCAGAACTCTGCAAATGTGGGTTTTTCCAAAGGGATCTCCAGGTGCAAACAAACTTTTACTGTTATAGCTTCTTGGAACACTTCCGCTTACAATAGATTAGTCATTGTGTTGCGCTTATTATAGAAGCCGTAAATGTTAATGTTAAGTTTGTTTGTACCCCGTGATAACCTTGGAAAAACCCAAAATATACTTAATTATAGCCCAACAAATTGTGCGCTTTAGGGCTTTTTAGCTCACCTGTCACAAAGTGACAGGGTGAGCTTTTGTGATCGCTTTTCGTCCGGCGTCCGTCCGTCCGTCCGTCCGTCGTCCGTCCGTAAACTTTTGCTTTAAATGACATCTCCTCATAAACCACTGAGCCAATTTCATCCAAACTTCACAGGAATGTTCCTTTGGTGGTCACCTTTAAAAATTGTTCAAAGAATTTAATTCCATGCAGAACTCTGGTTGCCATGGCAACCGAAAGAAAAATCTTTAAATATCTTCTTTTAAACAACCCTAAGAGCTAGAGCTTAGATATTTGGCATGACACATCTTCTAATGAGTGTCTACCAAGTTTGTTCAAATAAAAGCCCTGGGGTCAAAATTGGCCCCGCCCCGGGGGGTCATTGATTTTCCCTATATGCATATAGTAAAAACTTAAAAAATCTTCTTTTAAAGAACTGTAAGAGCTAGAGCTAAGATATTTGGCATGGAACATCTTCTAGTGAGTGTCTACCAAGTTTGTTCAAATAAAAGCCCTGGGGTCAAAATTGGCCCCGCCCCGGGGGTCATTGATTTTCCCTATATGCATATAGTAAAAACTTAAAAATCTTCTTTTAAAGAACTGTAAGAGCTAGAGTTTAGATATTTGGCATGAAACATCTTCTAGTGAATGTCTACCAAGGTTTGTTCAAATAAAAGCCCTGGGGTCAAAATTGGCCCCGCCCCAGGGGGTCATTGATTTTCCCTATATGCATATAGTAAATACTTAAAAATCTTCTTTTAAAGAACCCAAAAAGCTAGAGCTAAGATATTTGGCATGAAACATCTTCTAGTGAATGTCTACCAAGTTTGTTCAAATAAAAGCCCTGGGGTCAAAATTGGCCCCGCCCTGGGGGTAATTGATTTTCCCTATATGCATATAGTAAAAACTTAAAAAATCTTCTTTTAAAGAACCAGAAGAGCTAGAGCTTAGATATTTGGCATGAAACATCTTCTAGTGAGTGTCTACCAAGTTTGTTCAAATAAAAGCCCTGGGCTTAAAATTGGCCCCGCCCCGGGGGGTCATTGATTTTTCCTATATGCATATAGTAAAAACTTAAAAAAATCTTCTTTTAAAGAACTGTAAGAGCTAGAGCTTAGATATTTGGCATGAAACATCTTCTAGTGAATGTCTACCAAGTTTGTTCAAATAAAAGCCCTGGGGTCCAAATTGGCCCCGCCCCAGGGGGTCATTGATTTTCCCTATATGCATAAAGTAAAAACTTAAAAAATCTTCTTTTAAAGAACCCAAAGAGCTAGAGCTAAGATATTTGGCATGAAACATCTTCTAGTGAATGTCTACCAAGTTTGTTCAAATAAAAGCCCTGAGGTCAAAATTGGCCCCGTCCCGGGGGGTCATTGATTTTCCCTATATGCATATAGTAAAAACTTAAAAAATCTTCTTTTAAAGAACCGTAAGAGCTAGAGCTTAGATATTTGGCATGAAACATCTTCTAGTGAATGTCTACCAAGGTTTGTTCAAATAAAAGCCCTGGGGTCAAAATTGGCCCGCCCCAGGGGGTCATTGAATTTCCCTATATGCATATAGTAAAAACTTAAAAAATCTTCTTTTAAAGAACCCAAAGAGCTAGAGCTAAGATATTTAGCATGAGACATGTTCTAATGGGTGTCTACCAAGTATGTTCAAATAAAAGCCCTGGGGTCAAAACTGGCCCTGCCCTGGGGGTCATTGATTTTCCTTATATACATAGCAAAAACTTAAAAATCTTCTTTGAAAAAACCCAAATAACTAGAGTTTAGATATTAAGCATGAAACATCTTTAAGTAAATATCTACAAAGTTTGTTCAAATAAAAGCCCAGGGGTCAAAACTGGCCCTGCCCGAGGGATGTCATTGTTTTTAACTATATGTGTATAGTGAAAACTTAAAAAATCTTCTTTTAAAAAACCCAATGAGCTAGAACTTAGATGTTTTGCATGAAACATCTTCTTATGGGTGTCTACCAAGTCTGTTCAAATAAACAAATAAAAGCCCTTGGGGTAAAAATTGGGCCGGGGGGCGGGGGACGGGGGCTATATACAGTTGAGCGACCTCAGGGCCATCATGGCCCTCTTGTTTTATATAGACGATTGTCGCCCTTCGTAAAGACAGACATCTATGAAATATCAGATTATAAAAATTGGTCTGTCTTGCCGTTGAAATATTGAGACATACTTAATTATAGCTTTTATAAAATTATATAATATTGGAATGCATAATTATATTATTAGTTATACATTAAGTTGCTGACTGGATAAATGGGAGGATATAGCCTGAATGAGATAAAATGACTGACCTGAAATAAAAGATAACCCTTGGCTAGGGCCTCGGGACAGATTTATCTTATTCAGGTTATATCCTCCCATGTATTCCATCTGAGTACTTGTATAACAAATTCATTATAATACAAATTATTATGGACAACAAGTTCATAACCCAACAACTTTAGACTGTTTCCAAAGAAGCACAGGAAAAATACGTACATTATCAATAACACGCCAATGCTGTGTATTACATAAATGTAGTTTAAATAAAGGGATCGTCATCTTGGCTTATTACATAAAAAGTAGTTCAAATAAAGGGGTCGTCATCTTGGCGTATTACATAAAAAGTAGTTCAAATAAAAGGGTCTTCATCTTGGCTTATTACATAAAAAGTAGTTCAAATAAAGGGATCGTCATCTTGGCGTATTACATAAAAAGTAGTTCAAATAAAGGGAGTGTCATCTTAGCGTATTTCATAAAAAGTACACGTAGTTCTGATAAAGTGGTTGTCATAACGATTTAACTTTTAACTATTGTTTGGAAGTAATGATATTTGAATCACGAAATGTGCAGTAAGGAACAGAGTGCATTAAAAAAAAATTTAATCACACGCATTTCAAGTTACCTAACCGTCTACAATGTAGAAAAATATTATTATTTCTGCATACTTCGGTTCATCACAGTATATACACAGCATAAGTATTGTGTAAGCAAATCAGAATTTGAGAAATTCATTTGCATTATTATAATGAAATGGACTATATATCTTGACCTTTTTGTACTTAAAGTTTAAAATGACTTTAACAATTGTACACAGATAACACATCATGTTATCACTTCTCACCAAGGAACATGTTATATCTTGTGATAAATAATGTAACAAGTTGCAGGAAGATATTGTTTATAGTAAAGTATAGCAAAAATGTCTTTATAAATTCCTGCTTTTTTTTTGGTTTCCTCATTTTAGCATGATAAATTCCTGCTTTTTTTATATTGTTCATTTGATAGTAAATGGAGTAAGGATTATAGGTATGATATTTAATATACTTAAATTTTGGTTTAAGAATTTATATCATATAATATTATAATTATGTTAGAGTTTTTAAATCACCAATTGGGTCTGTAATACATGTACATGTAAAATGATGTATAATAGCATACAGTTACAATTTTTAAATAAATGAAATTTTAATCTGTTTAACTGCCTTAATGAACTCTACGTCTATGAACAGGCTCAATCAAACCAAGTTTGCAACATTTTCAATTTTGCTGTGTTGGGTTTTCTATTTGGGGATTCTGTTTTTCTCTACAAATGATAAAATGAAAGGTTTTGTTTGGGTTGAAAGATGGACAGGGTTAAATTGAACAAAGTCCCCACTCCCCACTATTTTCCAGGAAGTGTGTGTGTGTGTGTAGGGGGGAGTTCTGGACTTAAAAATTATTCGTGTGTCAATGAAAATCTAATGAACATCTCATGATCTGTATGAAAAATTTATGCTCTCAGAGCTTTTGAAACATACAATTTAATGTTTGCTGCAATTAATGAGGTACATACATGTATGTTATATAATGTTTCCCATATACCTGATACACTACAGCAATCTATTATTTAATTGTTTTAAATGATTATTGATTATGAAGACTTTGTATATGCATTGAAAATATGGTATCATTTTAAATCTGAACCATTCCACCTTGTGGTTGTGGGGATTGCCTTTGAGGGTTGAGGCATCAGAATTGCAGCCGCCGTTTAACCCTGATGATGATCGTAAGAGGCGACTAAATGGGTTAGAATTACTGGAGTCTATGCTTCTCTTAGCTCCAGCAGGTAAGGTGGTTTTGACCACTGGTGTTGCTTTAAGTTTGTAACACCTGAGGTTAGCGAAAATCATCTTTCCTGTTTTGGCGCCAAATTTATACCATGTCTTGCTAAATTTGTAACAATTTGTCTTGCTAAAATGTCTGGCTAAATTTGTACCATGTCTGGTTCAATTTAAATATTGATTACAAGCAATTGCTACTTCAAGTTACTGTACTGTTTCGGAAGCCTTAATATTTGAACTTGTATCTTCCTTGCATTAACACCAGAAGGAGACTGGTTTATACTGTGTGCCATTTGTATAAAATCATGAGGGATGGAATGTTCTGGTACTATATAACTATTTTCAGTGCTTTGCTTGAAACTTATTACTGATAACGCTTTAAATTATAATATGGGAGAACACAAAGAAGAGGTAACATATTACATTACTATATAATGGACATACAGACAAACAGGCAGACAAAGAGACGTGACTTGTTCCTGTTACCTCTTAAAGGGTTGGTTTTAGAGGGGTTTCTCCTCCCATAAATTTCTGATCAACTTGCACAAATAATCATTAAGTTGAGTGGATAAAAACAAGTCTTGCACAAGAAATATGAACTAATCCACTCATGTTGTGACCTCGTCTGATGTGTATACTGTGTCAATATAATAGTAATTCTGGTTTAAGTACGTTTTTAAAAGTACACAACCTACTTTATGTGAGATATACATTGTGCCATTAACCTAGTTTTTAACCTAGGTTTTGTTCAGTCACTTGCTAATATATCCAATTAATGACATGTATAAATGGTATATGTTTATAAATTGTGGTAAACAACTTGAGTGACAGCTTATAGAACAATAAATATTGTATTGAATAAAATTTTAATGAATTTTAGTTCTAGAATAGTAAATAAAAAATCATAGTTTTTGTTTTTTTATCTTGATTGGTATTTTTTCTTAATAGTTTTTTTTTTTCTTTTTGACATGTGATTTGTTATAAACATGGAAACTTTGGGGTCCCATTTTTCAACATAACATTGACACATGTGTGTTGATATTGCAGATGGGACCATACAGGTGAAATATTTCGTAGCCACTAGAATTACAGGATTATGGCACGTGAGCAGATAAGCTTGGTCTCTGTTGTCGAGGGCAACGGTAGTGATGGAAAAGAACAGCAGTTGGAGTACCAGTGCAGGGAGTATACAGAAATAACTGCCGAATATGAACCGTCGTGTCTCCAACAATGTAGTAATAAGCTGATACAAGTGTTAGAGGACACCTTTTACAAGTAAGTGTGTTGTTTATGTTGTTTATTGTTGGTTACTTGCTGCTACTGAAAGCCTGGCAGTTCTGCTCATCCGTGTAGTCTGACCAGGCCCTATACTGTTAGTAAATCAATTGTTTATGCCCCCCCTCTTCAAAGAAGTGAGGGCATATTGCTTTGCATTTTTCCGTGCGTCAGTCAGTAGACCAAATGGTTTCTGATCAATAACTAAAGAACTCTTAGGCCTAGGATCTTCAAACTTGGTATGGGGGGTTTTTTCCCTGACCAAATATGACCCCTGTTTAAAATTTTTTGGGGCTTTAGATCAAAGGGTTTAAAATTTTCATTGAAAAGTCAAAAAAGGTTTTCCCAAATAATAGCTAAAAAAAAGTCCCGGGGCCTTTTAACCCTTTAAAATTTTTGACCTTTGTGCATTTTTCTTTGGGCTGTAAAATGACCCCTATTGATTTTGGGGTCAAAAGTCATATTGACCTTGTAGGTCAAAACAGTTTCCGATCAATAACTTGACAACCCATGGACCCTTGACCTTCAAACTTCACAAATGCATTGCTTTTGGTCAGAAGATGACCTTAATGGATTTTTGGAGTCAAGGGATTAGAGGTCAAGATCAAATTGACCTTATAGGTAAAAAACACTTTGTGATCGACATTTCAACAACTCATGGGCCCTTTACCTTCAAACTTCATAGGTGCATTGGTCTTGGCCAGTAGATAACCCCTATTGATTTAAGGGTCAAAGGTCAAAGTCACAGTGACCTTGTACATAAAAATGGTTTCCGACAAATAACTCAACAATTGAAGATGCCTTGGTTAATTTTTTTTATTATACTGAAAATGCTTTTGGTAAACACATGTATATCAAATTGGCTTTCATTAAGGAGGCCAAATTAATTCTGTTAATTCTTCCAGTTTGAATAGTAGGTGATCCAAAACAGCTGAGAGACCATATTATCAGCCACTTCTGTTGATGAAATTTAAGGAATTTAGCTAATCAATTAAACAGAACCATTTATAGAATGTTATTTAATGACTGTCTCATCCTCATGTCCACAGTATTAACATGTAGAAATTGACCTATATTTAAAGAGCTTAACCCAGTTCTTGATTCGTACATTGAACTGTCTGTACTTAACCCAAAAATGGTAGCATAAACTAAATATGCTCTACCTGAAAACTAATAGTGAGCTGGTGTAAAAATTTATGAATTCTGTGACCTATTATTCATTAACCCATTGGTGTACCATTTCTTTTTATAATATGTTTTCATGCATAGATAATGAGGGTAATATCATCCTTATATGTAGTCAGAGTTTTCATTTTAATTTGAGGCAACAGACTGAGTGTTTTAGCATAAAGTTATATGTTTTTATAAGATTGCTCAAGGTTCTATTCAAGGTTGTGAGATATCAAACAGAAAAGTGGCATAATAGATACTGAAATTTCTCAAATCTTTCATTAACATGTATTACCTTAATATGTTATGCTTATTTTCAGTATGAACATCTATATTAATATAACATAAAAACTTATTATGTATTATTTCCTTGCATTTTCATTATAAATATCTGTTTATCAAAGGCTAGGTCTGCTGGTTGCTAGGCACCCAATTATCACCATAATCATATCTCTGTTGGTCTGCGGACTTTGTGGTGTAGGCCTATCAAAATTCGAACAAACAAAGGATGATGCAAAGTTGTGGGTGCCAAAGTCGTCAAGAGTGCTACCAGAGAAAGCATGGGTGGATGCAAACTTTCCCGAGAAATATCGCTTTACTTCTATCATTGTAACGGCGCACAATGTCCTTTCACCTTGGGCTATCAATGCTGTATGACTTTTTATATTGCTTATCTTTTTATATATGCAGCACTTTAATAACTAAATAATGGTCCGTTTCCAACGATCATTTGAAAAGTATGTAACAACGTATTAATTATAACTTTCAAACATTATATTTAGTATTATCATATGCTTTTATTTATAAAACTCTTGCTGTGATAATTTCTTGTTATATTTATAGTTTCTGTCAGAATTCTCTGTTTTCTCATGTATGTACTGATATTTTTTAGTTACTCTTTGTCCTCATATAACACTGATACTCTTTGTCCTGATATCCAAATTACTATTTGTTCTGATACATCAAAGTAACTATTTTTCTTGATATATCAAAGTTACCTTTTGTTCTAATATATCAAAGTTAATTATTGTCCTGATTAAAGTTACTCATTTCCCTGATATATCAGTGTTTCTCATTGTCTTGATCTATCAAATTTACCTTTGGTCCTAATATATCAAATTTATGTTTTATCCTGACATTTCAATGTTACTGATTGTCCTGATATATCAAAGTTACTCTTTGGCCTAATATATCTAAGTTACTCTTTGTCCTAATATATCAAATTTATGTTTTATCCTGACATTTCAAAGTTACTGATTGTCCTGATATATCAAAGTTACTCTTTGTCCTAATATAACAAAGTTACTCTTTGTCCTGATATATCAAAGTTACTCTTTGTCCTGATATATCAAAGTTACTCTTTGTCCTAATATATCAAAGTTACTCTTTGTTCAATATATCAAAGTTACTCTTTGTCCTAATGTATCAAATTTATGTTTTATCCTGACATTTGAAAGTTACTGATTGTCCTGATATATCAAAGTTACTCTTTGTCAAAATATATCAAAGTTACTCTTTGTCCTAATATATCAAATTTATGTTTTATCCTGACATTTGAAAGTTACTGATTGTCCTGATATATCAAAGTTACTCTTTGTCCTAATATATCAAAGTTACTCTTTGTCCTGATATATCAAAGTTACTGATTGTCCTAATATATCAAAGTTACTCTTTGTCCTAATATATCAAATTTATGTTTTATCTTAACATTTCAAAGTTACTGATTGTCTTGATATATCAAAGTTACTCTTTGTCCTAATATATCAAAGTTACTCTTTGTCCTAATATATCAAATTCATGTTTTAACCTGACATTTCAAAGTTACTGATTGTCCTGATATATCAAAGTTACTCTTTGTCCTGATATATCAAAGTTACTCTTTGTCCTGATATATCAAAGTTACTCTTTGTCCTAATATATCAAAGTTACTCTTTGTCCTTATATATCAAAGTTACTCTATGTCCTAATATATCAAAGTTACTCTTTGTCCTGATATATCAAAGTTACTGATTGTCCTAATATATCAAAGTTACTCTTTGTCCTAATATATCAAATTTATGTTTTATCTTAACATTTCAAAGTTACTGATTGTCTTGATATATCAAAGTTACTCTTTGTCCTAATATATCAAAGTTACTCTTTGTCCTAATATATCAAATTTATGTTTTATCCTGACATTTCAAAGTTACTGATTGTCCTGATATATCAAAGTTACTCTTTGTCCTGATATATCAAAGTTACTCTTTGTCCTAATATATCAAAGTTACTCTTTGTCCTAATATATCAAATTTATGTTTTATCCTGACATTTGAAAGTTACTGATTGTCCTGATATATCAAAGTTACTCTTTGTCCTAATATATCAAAGTTACTCTTTGTCCTAATATATCAAATTTATGTTTTATCCTGACATTTGAAAGTTACTGATTGTCCTGATATATCAAAGTTACTCTTTGTCCTAATATATCAAATTTATGTTTTATCCTGACATTTGAAAGTTACTGATTGTCCTGATATATCAAAGTTACTGATTGTCCTGATATATCAAAGTTACTCTTTGTCCTAATATATCAAAGTTACTCTTTGTCCTAATATATCAAAGTTACTCTTTGTCCTGATATATCAAAGTTGCTCTATGTCTTATTTGTTCTAATATATCAAAGTTACTTTTTATTGTAATATATCAAAAATTCTCTTTGTCCTGATGTGGCAAAGTTACCTTTCATTCTAATATATCAAAGTTATTATTTTCCAGGTTTAGAAAGTTAAATTTGTCCTTATATATCAAAGTTACTCTTTATCCTGATACATGAAAAACTACCCTTTGTCCTGATGTAATATCAAAGTTACTTTTTGCCCTGACATCAGAAATGTACTTAAATGTTGCAAACAAAACTGTCAGATATCGAATTGTGTTATTAAAGATTTTTTCTCCTCATTGTCTTCATAAGTCAGTTATTTCATAGTCCAAGTTATATTACCTTTAAATATCAAAGATTGCTTTAATATAGACATGTTTACTCTACAAGATTGTATTTACCTTCTTATAAATCTACTTCAACTTTTGGGTTGTTTTTTTTGTCTTTATTTGCTGTTGTGCAAATGCAAGGTTTGAATGTATTTACTCCTTTTAAACAAAACATGGCATATACATGACTTTTATTTCATATCTAAATTTTTGCTATCCCCTCTTCTTCTGTCATAAAGTATGAAAAAATATTAGTAGATTGAAAAAAAAATCATAAAATCAGATATACTTTTCTATCCACTTCACATATTCTTGTGGTTCCAGTCATGTGAACATTACAAAATTTAAGTTTTAGTCATTACACTTAATCTGAAAATTATGTTCTTTATCAAGATTATCATAAAAAAAGTTATCATAGTTTAACTATGTGTGAAGATCAGATTTTATGGCTAGGGAAATGGGGATGCATGTATCATATTTTCTGATTTTCAATTTTTATTGGATAATGAATGATCATGTTAAATGCTGATGATTTGGTTACAGATGTATGACATGTACCTCCAGTCTCGACTAATGGTATTACCCGGGTTTGAATCTCTGGATACCATATGTGTTAAGTAAGTATATATAAAGTAGTTCCAGAACACGTACATATAAAGTAGTCCCAGAACACTTATATCTGGCATTTAATTTTCTATACTCTTTTGTAGGAGTCAATTAATGATAAGAAATAGTTCTTAAGTCACATATTGAAAATATGACCTTGACCTCTAAAATCAATCTTATTTAAGTTCTTATGTTTACTTTAGCATAGGGTTTAATAAAGGAGCTGATTTTAATCAGATTGCCTCTAAATATCTTCAACAGACACAAACTTTACATTGTAGATCATCATTCATCAAACCTTCTGTTAGCTAGCTTCAATAGTTTCTAATAATTATTAAGATATTCTGTGTCACTTAACAAATGATACTGTTTTAACTTTTTTTCTCGATGATTTTGTTAGAGTTGGTCGTCACTGTAGAGTACAGAGTATACTAGAATTATGGCAGAACAATGGGACACTCATACGTAAACTTAGCATGGCAGATGTGCTCAAGAAAGTAAACTCGGATGTTAAATACAGGTAATGTTACACGGGTTGACCTTAGCAGTGATTTAAGGGTAGAATTTTGCCTTTTTTTGCTCTGCCTGTAGTGCCCTCCCACATTTTTAGCTCGACTTTTCTATGAAAAGGGGAGCTATCCTACTCGCCCCGGCGTCGGCGTTGGCGTCACACCTTGGTTAAGTTTTTCGTACCACCCCACTTTATTTCAGAAGTATTACAAGTATGGCTTTGAAACTTACCATACTTGTTCACCATCATAACCTCCATCTACAGACAAGAGTACATAACTCTGTCAAGGTTTTTGACAGAATTATGGCCCTTTTTTGACTTAGAAAGTGTATTGAGCTTGGTTAAGTTTTTTGTACCACCTCACTTTATTTCAAAACCATTGGAGGTATTGCTTTGAAACTGACCATACTTGTTTACCATCACGACCTTCATCAACAGACAAGAGGACATAACTCTGTCAAGGTTTTTGACAGAATTATGCCCCTTTTTGACTTAGAAAATACATTGAATATGGGTAAAATCCACTTATTGCCTTAACCCTTTGAGATATTGCTTTGAAACTTTTAATGCTATTTCACATCATTACCCCCATCTGTACGCAAGAGAAGGTAACTCTGTCAAGGATTTGTTTTAAAAAAATTAAGGCCTTTTATCGACTTAGAATCTTGGTTAAGTTTTTAGTACCAGTCCACTTTTTGACTGAACTGTTTGAGATATTAATTTGAAAGTTGGAATACTTGTTTACAATCATGATTCCCAAACATGTCCAGGAGAATTCAGTAAAATAATTCTTCACTAAATATCTTAATGCTCATGGCCATTGTCCACTTTAAAAATACAGAGATTCTTGTATTGCCTTTTACTGCAAAAACTTTTTTTATTGGCAAGCAATAAAAAAGTCGAGCGCGCTGTCTTACGACAGCTCTTGTTTTGTCCTATTTCCATTTGGTGCCCGACTGGGTGTTTTACTGGTGGTACTATGTTGGGGAATGTTGACAGGGGGCTGTATTCGGTTAATATTGCTCTCCATGTTGAAGTGTATAATGCTATATCTGCTGAAGTATTTGATGAAAAATTAAAAAAAAAGTAGAATTATGTTGTTTTTATAACCTTATGGTTGCTTCTTATAAGATTTGTAACATGCAATGTCTATGTAATTTAATGTACATGAATATTGTACCGAAACAGAATATTCTGAGAAGAAAAAGGTATGCAGTTAGCTTATAGAGCTTGAGCCTTGAGGTCTTCCTCCACTAGTAAAGCTGAAATGTCACAATATGACCATTACAGTGTTGTTGCAATGTAAGACCCAACCAATTAAAAAAATTCAAGCAGAAGTCAAAATTGGAACAACCTGCATTTTACTCCTTGCTATACTGAAACTTTTTATTTTTTAATTCAATCAATTCATTTCAATTAGTCAACAACCAAAGATTTTTGTATAGAACAAATCCAACCTATAGGTTACTTGACTCAAGTAAGGGAGGACACTTTTCTTGATGATTTTTTTGTGTAATTGAAAAGGTCAATAGGGAAAGAAAATCATTTCTTATTTGATTACTGGTTTGAATTAAAGATACAAAATCAGTAAACCACATATGATGAATTGCAATTTGACAAGCTATCTTATCTCACGGCTAAGAGTAAACAAGGGTGTTTGTATATTACACAGACATCCATTACTAGTATCCCAGTAGAATATTATGATGTCATTATAATAATCAATGAGCTCATGTTTGTATTAAAATTTTTGTTGTCATCAGGTCAAAGGCTCCCCTTTAAAACAACATACCCCTTTTGAAGAAAATAATAGATAAGTGAGTTACCAAGAAGTTTGCATTTTATCATCAATATCGGAGGAAATTTAAACTGAATCTTTATTATACTTAAATTCTAATTAGATTTTAACTTCCAGTATAATGATTACCCAGTGGAAAATGATAAAAACATCGTAAACATTTTCTTTTCCCTTTTCTTTTGGATGATTTTTGATAGTTGAATGAAAAAGTACACCCCACAAAGGGGATGGAATATACAGTCATACTTGCCAAAGTGACCACATTTAAGTGACTTTTATTTTTAGCAACCACTTTTTAATTCCCCCTGATCATTTTCTTTATATATATCTTTTATGTCTTGAGCATCCAATGTCATAAAATAATGAAATTAAATTGGAAGGTTCGTTGTTTTCGCTATTTTTGTTTTGGGACCAGAATTGATACATTGACACAAATTGTATTACTAGTAAAATTGTGCTTGCATCAAAGTACTGTTGGCATGGTGATAATGTTGATGTACTTACTGTGTTAGTGGAAATTTTGTGATAATTATAGTGTTAATATGATCTTAAATTTCTCTGTAACAAATATACCTGTGACCTTTAATAGAAAGTTGAACATAAAGGGAAAGTATCATAAGTCTGTGGCATCAGTGATTTTTTTTTCTTATATTTTACAGCTGAATGTAGGCTGTTTAATAAGGCTGTTTAATAGATTTTTCTGATTTCTCTGATTTTCTGATTTTTATCATGCGATATTTTCCCCTTGAAGGTTGTTCTGAAAAATGAAAAAAAAGTCACTTGGCCATGCAATTACAAAACATAACATATCTTATGGAAAGTCATATCACAGATATGTTGGTTAAACAGTCAGTAAACTGCTCTGCTGCCATCTTTGTCTTGTATTAAACATAACATAAGTGTGATTTAAAACTAGCCAGATTACTTAATTAAAATCTGTATTTGTAATAATAAGTAATCATGAATTTCAGTCCAGTATATGGGACAGAGTTTAACCTTGAGTACATGCTGGGTGGTATACGAAGAGATGTTCATGGAAACATTGTGGGTGCTGACTCTGTTACGATGCTATGGGTTCTTCATAAGAAGTCAGAAGTAAGTTCCTTTTGTACCAAAGAAAAGAAATAAAGGTTAAAGCCCTGTCTCTGGATACAGTCTTGTGACCTTTTAAGTTGAATGATTTAGATAGCTAATTTGTTTTCATACACCTGATATATAAAATGTTTCTGTTGCTGTTGAAGTGTATCATATAAGAGAACTTAACTGTTCACTAATTGAAGGTAAGTGGTTCTGCGAAGTTACAGGTTTTGACCTGAAATATTTTGTAGATGTTGCAAACCATTATGTTCCTGCTCTTTAAACTAGTTCTTTATTGAGCTACCATAATTAAATTCATGTTAAGAAAACACAAATTTCCTAAAAGCAACATTGATTACCCCAGACTCCAGAATGTTGTTTGCACAAGTTTATTGGCCTGAAATATAAAAATATTATTATTTGTATATGTATGATCTAATCCTTACCAACTTGTAAAAAAGTCTGTCATGCAGTGATATAAAAAAATAAATAAATCTAATGCAAGTTTTATAAATACATGTACTTAATGTATGAATTTACCTTAAAATGTATATATTTGTTGTATAGTGGGATGCTGCGGCCCTTGTCTGGGAGAAGAACATGATTGAAATGGCTCTGTCTCCACGACCAAACCTTCTCAAATGTTATGTTTACGCAACAAGAACGTAAGTTGTGTTTGTTTTGTATTTTTTCTTAATGACAATGTTTAATTTTAACTTTGGTCTTGATTATTAAAAATTTACGGCCATCTATGCTTAGTTTAAAGTCAATAGAATTGATGATGAAAAGCTATTCTCAATTTTAACAGTGACCTCTGGAATTAGATATAAATGGTTAATAAGTTATCCTTAGTTTTGACTGTAGCCTTATAAATTGAAAATGTATGCTCAATTATGCTAATTTAAAATTCTGACCACAAAAAATGGAATACGTATCCTCAACTATTCTTAGTTTTAATTCTGACATCAAACATTGAAGTGTTAGGTCAGCTATCTATGCTTAGTTCTAACTCTGACATTAAAAATTGAAAATGTGTTCTCAACTATGCTTAGTTCAAATTCTTTCCACAAAAATGGAAGATGTGTCTCAGCTATGCTTAATTTTAACACTGACACTGAAGTGTTTGGTCAATCATTTATGCTTAATTTTAACTCTGACAAATTTAACTCTCTACTTGTTATAGAGTTAGTAAGCGAACAGCATGGATCCTGATCAGACTGCGCGGAGGCGCAGACTGGTCTGGATTCATGCTGGTCGCAAACCCATTATGTTGATTTTGTCATGACGCGGCTCAATTTGTTTTCAGTTTTGATGATGAAGGTTATGGGGCTGTTAATGCAGATGTTTCATTACTAACAGCAGGATTTATCATAGTATTTGTTTTCATCATCATGGTATTAGGAAAGTTTAACTTGGTAGAAAATAAGGTAAGCTTGATATATATTAGAAATTTATTCTCTTAACTCTTAGACTTCTATTAGTCAGATTTACTTAATTATGGCAGATTGGTCAGCACATTTTGTGACCTTAGGGCAGTAATGGGTTAAATCCTTTTAAACTTTATGGTAGTTAACCAGTTATTGCACTAAGGTGACAATTTGAGCTGCACCATGACGAAACCAACATAGTGCGTTTGCAACCAGCATGGATCAAGGCCAGCCTGAGCATCAGTGCAGTCTGATCAGGATCCATGCTGTTCGCTTACAAACCCTAAAACAAGTAGAGAAACTGATAACGAAAAGCATGGATCCTGATCAGACTATGCGGATGCCCAGGCTTGTCTGGATCCATGCTGGTCGCAAACGTACTATGTTTGTTTTGTCATGGCGCCGCTCATTTATGCTTTTCAGTCAAACCTTTGTTAACTAACACAATTTACAATTTTAGTATGTTTTTCATATTGAAACACAAAAGCCTTTGATATTATATAACCTTAGAATTTCAATACACAGTTCCTAATTCCAAGTGAGGCAATTATGCTCTACAATTTTAGCAAAGTTTTTACTATAGTCCTCTTATTTGGAAATAAGATTTCAAACTTGAAAAATAATAATCTTTTGAAGACTGGATACACAGAAACATGATGATGATACCAGCTACTATAATCAAGAAATCATGACAGCTGTATTATCTTTCCATAAATTTTACACATTTAATTTTTTTTTTCCAGATATATGAAAAACAAACACCCCTTTTGCAAAAGAAAGATATCATTATGAATAAATTTTGACTTTTTTTTTATGCTTCGTCTTTAGAGACTGTTGTATGAATGGACCATTTTTGGTGTTTCCCTTGTGTGGTCACTTAATACAAGTTTGACTGTACAACCTCAGTAAATTTTGCACATAATTTATTTTAATTCCAGCTATATGTATCACTCAGTGGAATACTCACTATAGGACTTGCCATATTGTTTTGTTATGGTTTAGCTATGGCTTTTGGATTCATTTATGGTCCTATACATTCACTCATGCCCTTTTTGCTGTTAGGTAAGTTCCAGTCGGTCACTGTCTTGAGAACGTTTTATTAGTTAAACCTTTAACTGCTTTAACTACTGGTATAACCTCTTAAACGTTTGTGGCAATAAAAAGTGTAGAGTCATATTTGCAGGTTGACTATACGCTGTATAATATTGGCACTTCAGTTTTTGTATTTTACATATAAAATAATCATATATTATACAAATATAACTTTACATACAAATTGATAAGTATAGGTGCAGATATATTGTACGGGTGTTATTTTCATGAGTTTCACAGGTGTTTTATACAGGTACAATTTATATTTGTGCCTATTTTTTTTCCCAGGAATAGGTGTGGATGATATGTTTGTAATTGTTGGAGCCTGGAAGAACCTGACAGAAGAAGAGCATAAACAACCTATACCAGAGAAAATAGCAATGACATTAAAACGTGCTGGTGTTTCTATTACTGTAACATCAGTGACAGATATTGTTGCATTTGGAATCGGAGGTTCTACTGTAAGTTTGCATTTCTTCTATACAAGTTGTAAAAGTGATACACTAATGTTAAAATGGCAGTGAAAAAGAAAATTTATGTCACAATGTAATGAATTTTTTTTCTATACATGAATATACGATTAACTAACATTAAAATTGGTTTGTTTTGGCAGGAAAATTTTTTTTTTGTCACAGTGTGAATCAACATTTCCTGAAAATAAAAAAAACATTTTCTTATGTATATCATTGAATTTAATGCACTATTTAGTCCTAAAAATGGCCCCCCCACTATGGGGAAAAACCCGGGGAAAAGTTGGGAGAAAACCAAAAAAAAGGGTTTTTTCCTTTTTCAGGCTTTTGCAATGGGGAAAGGGTTAATGTGGGGTTTTTGCCCCCATGAAACCCAAAAATTTGGGCCCGAAATTATGTTCCCCCATAGCAAAATTAAGGCCCCTTTTAAGGGTTGGGGTTTTTTTTTAAACTTGCCCCCGTCCCCCCGAAAAAGGGGGGAAATTTTTTCAAAAATATTGAAAAAATTTTAAAATGCCCAAAATTGCCTGTGGTAGAGGGGGCCCTAGTTTTTCTAAAGACAAGCATTTTTTAGTGATATTTTCAGTTTTAAAATTTAAAAAGTTTTCCCATTGGGGCCCGAGGGGGTTGGCCCCTTTAAAAAAATTTAAACAAACAGAATCGTGTGATCGACCCCCTAAATGGGTTTGGGAATTAAATTTGGGGTCTCTTTACCGAGCAGGGGAGGTGGTTTTTTAATTTTTGGGGGTTGTTTAAGTTTTTAACACCTGAGGGGTTTGCAAAAAATCAAACTTTTCCCGATTCAGCATCCATGAACCCCAAATTGGGGTTTTTGGGGCCAAAAAATAAAACCAAACAAGGGAAAAAGTTTTTTCAACCCCCAAAAATTGAACAAAAAGGAAAAAAAAATTAAATAGGCTGTATAAGATATATACCCGCCAAATAAAACAAAACCAATAAAAGGCGTTTGGCCACTTTTGGATCAAGACCACCCCTGGCATCCGCGCATTGGATCAGGACCATCTGTTCCACATTTTCAAATTTAATAGGGTTTGGAAGCAAAAATCGGGGAATTTTGATAACTCCAAATATGCGCAGGTGGTTGGGGACCTGGGGGCCCAAAATTATATTTTTTTGCACCGACCCCTTTTGAAATTGTCAGTAAGGTGAGCATTTTTTTTTTTTATTCCTGTTTTTTATTTTTTTTAAAAATTATAAAAAATAAATGTAACACTTAAAAGTTTAATACAGCCCTTTGGGGTTTGGGGAATGTCCATCTTTAAAAACTGGACAAAACCCGTAAACCCTTTTTTTAAAAAAGGAAATTTCAAAATTTTATTAAAAATTTTAAATATCAAGAAAGTGCAAAAACCTTTGATCGGGGTTGTATGGAAAAAAAGAACCCCCCTAAATTTTGTCGAAATTGGCCACATTGGTAGAATAAAAGTTGTTTTTAAAAAAAATACAAAGTAAAAAGCCCTTAATAGCCCCAAGACCATTTCTAATTATAAAAAATTTTTAAATTTTGCAAAAATTACCGCCCCCGGGTGGCCCAAAGGGGTTAGAGTCGACGACTTCTAATCCAGTTACCTCTCTGGCGTGGGTTCGATCACCGGGAGATACTTTGGTAGTTTAGCAAGAAGGAAGGTAGTCTAGTACTGGTGTAACTGTCCAGGAACAATGGTTAGGAAACTACCCGCCTATATGACTGAAATACTGTTGGGAAAAGGCGTAAAATGAAATAAACAAACAAACAAATCAGTATTTATGTTTATCTTATCTGTAGTTTTCATTTAGTATTAATGTATTATGAATATGTAAGATTCTTTTTTATTTTCCTCACAGATATCAGTATTAATAGCAACAACTGTGTTAGTAGGTGTGAATATCTGGAGTTTTACAATGTTACGCCAGGACTTTAACCTGTACGACTATATACCCAGTGATTCCTATGCAACAGATTATATCAATGCTCAGATGGTGTTCTATCCAGACAGAGGGTATGACGCTGCTGTTTACTGTGGTAAGACACCTTTAGGCTACTTCACAATTGTCTTTTGTGTTAAGACACTTTTGGGCAACATCACAATTGTCTACTGTGGTTTAACACCTTTAGGCTACTTCACAATTGTCTACTGTGGTTGAACACCTTTAGGCTACTTCACAATTGTCTACTGTGGTTTAACACCTTTAGGCTACTTCACAACTATCTACTGTTGTAAGACAACTGACACATTTAGGCTACTTCACAATTATCTACTGTGGTTGAACACCTTTAGGCTACTTCACAATTGTCTACTGTGGTAAGACAACTGACACTTTTAGGCTACTTCACAATTGTCTACTGTGGTTTAACACCTTTAGGCTACTTCACAATTGTCTACTGTGGTTTAACACCTTTAGGCTTCTTCACAATTGTCTACTGTGGTAAGACAACTGACACATTTAGGCTACTTCACAATTATCTACTGTGGTTGAACCCCTTTAGACTACTTCACAGTTGTCTACTGTGGTTTAACACCTTTAGGCTACTTCACAACTATCTACTGTGGTAAGACAACTGACACATTTAGGCTACTTCACAATTATCTACTGTGGTTAAACACCTTTAGGCTACTTCACAACTATCTACTATGGTAAGACAACTGACACATTTAGGCTACTTCACAATTGTCTACTGTGGTTTAACACCTTTAGGCTACTTCACAACTATCTACTGTGGTAAGACAACTGACACATTTAGGCTACTTCACAACTATCTGCTGTGGTTGAACACCTTTAGGCTACTTAACAATTGTCTACTGTGGTTTTACACCTTTAGGCTACTTCACAACTATCTACTGTGGTAAGACATTTTTGGCAACATCACAATTGTCTACTGTGGTTTAACACTTTTAGGCTACTTCACAACTGTCTACTGTAGTAAGGCAACATTAGGCTACTTCACAACTATTTAATGTGGTTAGATAACTTTAGGCTACTTCACAACTATCTACTGTGGTACAACAACTTTAGGCTACTTCACAACTATCTACTGTGGTAAGACACCTTTGAGCTACTTCACAATTGTCTACTGTGGTTGAACACCTTAAGGCCGCTTAGCAATGGTCTACTGTGGTACAAAAACTAGGCTACTTAATAACTGTCTTCTGTGGAAGGATAACTTAAGCTACTTTACAGCTGTCTACTTTGGTAAAACTTCTTTAGATTTCTTCACAACTGTCCACTGTGGTAAAACACATACAGGCTACTTAAAAACTATCTATATGTGGTAAGACATCTTAGACTACTTTACAATTGTGTTCTTAAATTTGACACCTTTAGGCTACTAATGCAGTCATAAACTATGATAAATTTGAAATTATTCCCTGTCATGATATTTCACAGCTGAATATCAGTTCTGATTCTTAAAATATTTCTATATACAAAATCTTTTCACAGTATAGGTTAGAATCCCATTTGCAGCATTTGAATTTTTTTCTGCTGTTTTTTCCTGAAATAATACACTAATGGACTTTTAGAGTACAACTGCCGTACAGATAGAGATTTGTCTGATGCGCAGAAAAAAAAAACAAAAAAATTGCATACATGTTTTAAACTGCAAATTATGCAATTTGAGGAAAGTGACCAGATAGTTTTAAGCTGCACGAATGAACTTTCAGAGTATATTAAAGTATTTTCGATCAGATTTTATGACAATCTTGTACATTTTCAGATAACATGGATTATTTTGCCAACCGTCACGTGTTAGAAAGTATGTATTCAGAAATGAAGAAAGATCCATACATACAGAATGGTTCCATTAATTTTTGGTACCCATCTTTTATCAACTATCTCAAGACATCCACAGACAAATCTGTGTTATCACAGATGGCAAAGAGTAAGATGTTTTTTTAGCTCACCTGACTACCAAATGCTCAAAAAGGATTGTTGATTTTCGGTTGTCCACAATTAAGGTTTTTACCAGTATAAGGGTCACAGTAGTTTTGACTTCATCAGATGTCCATATGTTGTTTTTGGTAGGGCAGTTATGGGCAAACTCCTGAATTTAATAGGAGCTAACTGGTTACTGCACTAAAGTGACGATAATCTAGTGCAAAGGCTTTAAACAGTTGTCTTAGGTAAGAAAGTAAATTTTTATTTATATATCGCAACTGGTTCTTTGTGGCAAAGTGTAACGGACTTTGAATGTAACTGTCCTTGAATGTCACAGTCCTTGAATGTCACTAACTTTGAATGTTACTGACCTTGAATGTCACTGACCTTGAATGTGACTAACTTTGAATGTCACTCTCCTTGAGTTGTTTTATCTGCATAGGTTTGAAACCCACTTCTTGTCTTGTTGTAATTTGTTTTGTTAATGTGCAGGTTCTACCCAGCTACCAACAGTTATGTAGAAAATTATGAAAGAAATTGCAACTTTTCAGCCGTTAAAAAATATAGAAATAAAAAAAGGGGGCAAACAGTTTTTAGCAAATAATTAACTTCCATAATATCAAAATGTGTTTGAATAACACTAAGAAGTGTGTATATGTATGTTTAAAAAATAAAACCATGGAAGGAAGATGTGAAATTATTTTTATAATTTTTATTCTAATTTGACTTTCAGATGGGTATCCAAGATCCAGTACTGAATTTAATGCTTTACTGGGTTATTTTATATCTCAAATGGAAGGAAGGTCATATGGTCAATATTTCAAATTTTCAAATTCTTCCCCACCCACTATAGAGGTAACTTTTCTTAAACAGTTTATTTCATTATTTGTGACATACATGTTTTATACATAGAAATAGAAAACTACACTTGAGCCGCGTCACGACAAAACCAACATAGTGGGTTTGCGACCAGCATGGATCCAGACCAGCCTGCGCAGTCTGATCAGGATCCATGCTGTTTGTTTACAAACTCTATAACAAGTAGAGAAACTGATAGCGAACAGCATGGATCCTGATCAGAAGGCGGGGATGCGCAGGCTGGTCTGGATCTATGCTGGTCGCAAACCCATCATGTTGGTTTTGTCATGGCACGACTCACTTTTTGTTCTTATGTATTTTGGTCTTGTGCATTTTCTTAAATATCTGTGGTAGATTCTTTGTTTATAGTTTTAAATTTGTAACAACTTACTGATGATGATGTATGGCATAGGATTAAAAAAAGGTTTTGACATGACATCAAATGGATGATGACCATATTTTATTTCTTACACAGAAAAATATAAAAAAAAAATGGAATAATTTTAAAAGGATGCTGGGTTCCATAAATAAACCCATCTCATAACAGAAACAAAACATTGAGAAAACTTTTCCATTATGTATGATAATAAATATTGTAGGAAAAATGTTAATGTTAAGTTAATATTAAATTTCAGGCTTCCTATATACCATTTTTCCATACACGACAATCAAGTTCTGCTGGGGATATAGACGCCATGGAGAGTTTACGAGATATTCTCGATAAAGCTGCATTCATCAATGGCACATGTTTTGCCTATGGTTTCAAATATCTTAACAATGAAACTAATAAGGTAAAAAACTCTTTTTTTTTCAACTTTTTCTGCTTTGGAGAAAAAATTTTTGTTTCAAAATGAAGTGCTCAGTGCTTTGAATGCTCAGGATTAAAATGTCTTTTTTATGCTTCACATATAAGAGCCCAAACTAGCAACTTTTTAAACAGTTTAGCCATTTACTATAAAGCTGATTCATTTCAATGTTAAAATCCTTTTAATTAATGCTGAATAGTCTTTGAAATAAAAATGGGACAAATCTGTTACAATCTCAAGTATGGTTTCTGGACGATAACTAGAGTTAGGAATGAGATATTGTAATCAAACTTGGTGTATAGCAAGCTTATATGAAGAGCCTGGTTGGTATTGCATTTGGACCCCCTGGCGTCAAGGTCACCATTACTAAAAATAGAAAAATGGTTTCTGGACAATAACTAGAGTTAGGAATGAGATATTGTAATCAAACTTGGTGTATAGCAAGCTTATATGAAGATCCCAGTTGGGATTGCAATTAATTGAAATAATTCTTTGTATACTTTATTTACTATAGGTTGAGACTCGAGTTCAAATTTTTCTTCAGACAACATATTTTTCAAAAAGTCAAAGTTGCTGGTGGGGATATTAATCACCTTCAGTGATGTGTCTAATTTAATGTTTCAAAAAGTGATATTTTTTCAGAATATTGTTGTATTTTTATTCAGGTGTTAAAGGGGGAGCTGTATCGTAATCTTGCCCTAGCTGGTGTGTGTGTATTTATAGTCACCTTGTTGTTGATCGCTAACTTATGGACCAGCATTCTTGTCTTCACTTGTGTAGCATTTACTGTGGTATGTAGCTTTAACATAATTGTTCTATTATTGTAGAGTTTTTATTTAGTTTCAATTAAAGCTGTGTTAACAAATTTGACTAGGAGACATTTGTTGTCAGATTTTTAATGGTCTCTAATTTCATTTGAAAGCCGGCCAGCTAGCGTATGGAAGATTGATTCTTCTATTTTTTGGGTGGGGTGTCTGTGGCTGTGTGGCTCTGATGTTTGACTTCAAACCACTTAGCCTTCAGTGATGTGGGTTAGAATCATACCAGGAACTTATATTAGCTATTGAAGTGTTGGTTCTACTCAGATGCCCTCTTGAGCCTTAAATAGTATGTGGAGGGGCACCTTAGATTTTCCCCCTCCAGTAAAGCTGTAAAGTCACCATATGACCTTTATGTAACAATGTTGGTGCCAAACAATTATTAAGATATCTACTAATACATAAAATGATGCACAAAGGGACAGCTGAGGTGTTCTTCTGCAGATATTAAAGCTGGAACCTTGCTTTATGACCTAGGACTTTATTCAAATGAATATGATGTGTGTTTATTTAGAAAAAAGCCTGAGTAACATTACTTATTTTCTTAAAATAAAGACATGCTATAATTTTTTATGGTTGGTTATCAAGAATATGAACATTGTAACATTTTTATGTGCACATGATTATGATTTACTTGTTAAAGTTCATATTCATGCATATTATATGCAGCAATTAATATGTGCAGGAGAGGGGTGGCCTAGTATTTAATGTGTTACCTCTCAACCCAGGGATCATGGAATGGAGTCCTACTCAGGTCACGATCATGTTTCCTTGTATTACACCAGTACTGGTTGGTGCCAGGAACCGGACTCGAAAATGATTAATATAAGTTGCATGACCTTGTTAAGCATTTGAGCCAAGATAGATGGGTTTAAACTAAACTATTGAATATGTGAAAAATGACAGTGCAATTGAAAATCTTCTATTTTTTGCTTGAGAGGAGTTCCCTTTAAAAACAAAAATGTTGGGCAGCTGATGTTATGTAATATTAAAGGGACTCCACTGAGGTTTAAAGCCTATAAAAATAACATTTGAATTTCTTACATAAATGAGCTGTGGCACTTTAAACAAAAATATATGCAAAGATAGTTAAGAAGCATACTTTGAAATAAATTGAAAATCATATTTTTATGCTTTTCTTAGCCCGATTTGAGTGAAAAGCGTTTCATTTACGGTCATTTTTAAACAATTTGAATAATTATTCTGGAAAAAGGAAGTGCGCGAATGACCGAAATTTTGCACAAAGACTAGTGGTCTAAACCTACATCAAATGGTACATTTATATGGAAAAAATATTTTCAGTCCCATCATGTCAAAAAACCTCATTGGAGTCCCTTTAAGGTCTATAATGTAAATTTAACTGTCATTGACATTGTATATTTGTTGTTAACTTTTATTAATCAGATTGATGTGACGGGAACACTACAGTTTTGGGGTGTAACCATAGATACGGCAAGCAGTATACTTATTATTTTGTGCGTAGGTCTAGCGGTAGACTACTCAGCACATGTCGGACACATGTTCATGACCATATTAGGCAACAGAGAAGGTAACTTATGTATATCAGATAGGATTTTCTACTGTTTATATTGGTTTATACAGAATTTATTTTAGTTCGATTGTGTAGGAAGCTTACAGCTCATATAGATACGCTCTGGAATCTATTCCTGGAACCGACCAGTACTGAGCAATGAGTTTAAAGTTTCTTGATCAAGGAAACAAGGTCTCACTTCTGTTGGGGGTTTGAACCAATGCAACAGCGATCTTTAGATTACTTGTCTGACGAGCGGTTCCCGACATATTGAACACTTGGTCATGCAGCCTCTAAACAAACAAACCTTTATTAGTTATAAAGATTTTTTGACAGGTTATATGACCCTCTGCCTGGTTATATTGCAAATAATCAATTATATAATATTATGGCCATATAATCTGTTAAGAATCTTAAAAAGGCATTTATAATACTGCAAACTTTCTTTTAAGAGAAATAATTATATTAATTCATAAATCGACTGCAGCTGTGTATATAGATTACATAAACATCATGATTATCCAATGAAAAATCATGTTACAAACATGCTGTCTTAAAAATTGTATTAACCATGGATACAACTAATATTGTTCTCAAAATAATGTACATGTATATCCTGTTATTGTTTCTTAGCTTGGCAATTAAGTCATTGAATAATGGCAAAGTTTTGCGGAATGCTCATAGTTTATGTTTCCATTTCAGAGAGAGCAAAGGCAACTCTATTCTCTATTGGTCCTGCAGTATTGAATGGTGGAGTCAGCACTTTCTTGGCATTTGTTCTCCTTGCTAACAGTAAAAGTTATGGCTTTGTCATGTTCTTCAGGGTAAAATATTTTTTACTTTATAGTCCAGTCACATGTTGCTGAAAAAAAATCTTAAAGTATGCCCCCTTGTACAAATCAAATAGCAGCGTAGATCAAGATTTGTGGGCCTTTGAAATTTTATCAAATTAGTGCAGTCAGTCATGTTCTACTTTTATAGGTACTTATATTTCAACTTTTTAAGACTGAAACAGACAGTGTGTCATAGGTAATTTATTATTTAGTCGTGTTGTTTGTAGTTTTCACTCCGGATCATGGCAGGAAGCCACATTTAATTTACCAGAGCACAGTTCTGTCACCGCATTGTTCTTTGACTGGCTGTCAAGCAGTTTACCAGTACTAGTTGCCTGCACATTGCGCAAGGAACTGATAATGCCAGAGCAGAGGTACAGTGGGAATGACAATAAAAAGTGACCTGCATTGTCCGGGAATTGAACCAGGATAGCCGTATTCACAGTCCGACGCTCTTCCTATTGAGCTAACCGGATGGTTCTTTATTGTTTACATGTACTTATATTTTAAGGTATTTATGACAGTGGTACTTTATGGACTCTTCCATGGTCTGGTATACCTCCCTGTTGTCCTGAGTTGGGTTGGTCCACCACCATATCAATCTAGATCTATCAAAGAAGCAGAGGAGAGAACTAAGATGCTACACAGCTCAGCTGAAAATGGAAAAGAACATACCAAGAATAAAAGTTCCACAGCATTTTCGAAAGGAAATGGAATTTTGAAAGTAAGAAGAAAAATTGGATTCATATCTATAACTGTAAAAAATTTTGTGGGTAAAAAAATCAAGAAATTATTTTCATTAGAATTTACAATTTGATTTCAGTTTATTCCAAATATCCTCCTGTTTTAGGTTATGGTATGACAAATTTATAACGGTTTAAAGCAGAGGGCAGCAGTGGCTTACAAGTAAAGGTTCCTTTCTCTCACTGCATGGATCATGGGTTTGACTCCTATTCAGGTCACACCCATGTTTCCTCAAATGATGCCAGGACTAGTTTGTTTCAGATCTCTAGAAAGATTGTTCAAATTATGGTCCTGGGCTCAATAGGGATGTAGTTTTAAAGCAGCATGTCTTCAAATTTGTGCTAATTTTAATGAAAATTTTGAAAATGTATTTAAAAGTGAAATATTGTGAAATGAACAAAGGAAGTTATTTACACATTGCAAATGGCACTAATTAGAATCCACAAAAAATAAGTCAAAATATGCAAAAATAGCCCTTAATGTGTTAGTCATGCATTAGAAATATAGTGATTAATACTGCAATATCAGTCATTAATCACATATAACATGTAAATTTTTACTTGATCCTTGAATCTTTTTACTTTGTTAGTACCTTTATTCTCAGTTTTGAATTTCTTGAAATATTTTTCCTCATCTAGAGTCATGCAGCTTTAAAACATGTAAGTCAAGTTGCGTACTTTAAAATGACATGATTTCAGCGCCTTTTATAAATCGCTAAGAAAAATGTGCATACTAAGGATGATGTCATTTTGTCATTATTAATGCAGTTGCAAATTTATACACTGCTATAAAATAAATAACTGCGAAATAGAAATATTAGTTTTAATTTGTATTTCTTTTCTGAAATATGACTCAAATGTATTACAAAGAAACAACTACATTTTTCTCTCGTTATCATTTTGAAGAATTACATTTTTTGCTGTTTCAGCAAATGGCAGGAATTATTAATGAATTGTCGTGATTAATAAATATTTCCCTTAATTTACTATGGTATTAAATTAGAAAAATGTATGATGTACAAACATGTTTGCTTGAGCAACAATTGATTAACAATTTTTGCTTTCTGAACATTTTATAGTACATGCATTTTTTGGAAAAATTATATTTCAAGGAAATCGCATTTAAACATGCATTTTGTTAAATAAGAAACATTTTGCTGTTTGACAGACAAATAGATACTGTTTAACAAGGTGAGAAGCACGTCTAGTCAATGTTGTCAAAATGTAATTTATTAGATTTTAGTATGACAGTGGGTATATAGATATAGTATATAGTTGAATTTAATTTAATTTGGGACAGAATACATGTATTTGTAGATAACATCCATTACTTGTTATCCTGCATGCATTGGTTTCACTTGTATCTTTTAATTTTTTAATTTTATTATGTAGTATTTGTTGATAACCTAGAAATAAAGATTGATGTTGTCTACACAAATACAATAAATTATACCATAGATACAATGGAAAACTTACAAGAACACCCTGAAAAGTATTTTCAGCCAACAAGAATCAGAAAAGTCATGTCATTTAAATGTTTTATGTGAATTTATGAACAATGTTCTTGAATAAAATATGCATAAGCAGGTATACATTAACAGAGAAGAAAACATGCATAATCGATTTTGGATGTATTCTGTTTAGCAAGAATAGTGCTATTGCACCTTTTTTACATGCATTAACATCTGCAGAAGCCCTTAAACTTACTTACTAAAACCTTGCCCTGCGTGCTCCAGCTTTAGATGCGTCTTTGTGCTTCTGCAGATGTAAATGCACACAAAAAAGGTCCATTAACACTCTATTGTTTTAAGTATGATATGTGTTTGTATAACATTGTTCATGCTTATTTCTGCTGATTGATTAAGTGTAAATTATCTTTTAAGATAAAACTATTACCTTAGCTCCATGGTCAATTCACTAGATATGCTTTCATGACTTGAAATTTGAATGAATCCGGTTTTGTTTTTCATCATACATAACCGGAGTCATGTTGGGTTGATAGTTTAATATATTATTGTTTAATATATTAGTGTTATTATATAATGCATGACGTTATTGTTTTTAGCTCACCTGTCACAAAGTGACAGGATGAGCTTTTGTGATCGCTTTTCGTCCGGCGTCTGTCCGTCCGTCCGTCGTCCGTTAACTTTTACTTTAAATGACATCTCCTCATAAACCACTAAGCCAATTTCATCCAAACTTCACAGGAATGTTCCTTTGGTGGTCACCTTTGAAAATTTTTCAAAGAATTTAATTCCATGCAGAACTCTGGTTGCCATGGCAACCAAAAGAAAAAACTTAAAATATCTTCTTCTAAAAAACCCAAAGAGATAGAGCTTAGATATTTGGCATGAAACATCTTCTGGTGAGTGTCTACCAAGTTTGTTCAAATAAAAGCCTTGGGTTAAAATTGGCCCCGCCCCAGAGGGTCATTGATTTTCCCTATATGCATATAGTAAAAACTTAAAAAATCTTCTTTTAAAGAACCAAAAGAGCTAGAGCTAAGATATTTAGCATGAAACATCTTTTAATGGATGTCTACCAAGTTTGTTCAAATAAAAGCCCTGGGGTCAAAGTTGGCCCGACCCCAGGGGGTCATTGATTTTCCATATATACATATAGTAAAAACTTGAAAAATCTTCTTTTTAAGAACCAAAAGAGCTAGAGCTAAGATATTTGGCATGAAACATTTTCTAATGGGTGTCTACCAAGTTTGTTCAAATAAAAGCCCTGGGGTCAAAATTTGCCCCGCCCCAGGGGGTCATTGATTTTCCCCATATGCATATAGTAAAAACTTAAAAATCTTCTTATAAAGAACCAAAAGAGCTAGAGCTAAGATATTTAGCATGAAACATCTTCTAATGGATGTCTACCAAGTTTGTTCAAATAAGAGCCCTGGGGTCAAAATTGGCCCCGCCCCGGGGGACATTGATTTTCCTTATACGAGTATAGCAAAAACTTAAAAATCTTCTTTGAAAAAACCCAAATAGCTAGAGTTTGGATATTAAGCATGAAACATTTTCTAGTAAGTGTCTACAAAGACTGTTCAAAAAAAAGCCCTGGGGTCAAAACTGGCCCTGCCCCAGTTGTGTCATTGTTTTTAACTATATGTGTTAAGAAAAAACTTAAAAAAATCTTCTTTTAAAAATTCCAACGAGCTAGACCTTAGATGTTTAGCATGAAACATCTTCTAATGGTTTCTACCAAGTTAGTTCAAATAAAAGCCCCGGGCTTTAAACTGGCCCCGCTCCGGGGGCCTATGTACAGGTGAGCGACTTCAGGGCCATCATGGCCCTCTTGTTTTGTTTTTTTCACAGTTCTGATGCATGCTATTCATATTTTTTATTTTTTTATGGCCATGTATGATAGTACATGAGAACAAAATGTATATTGTTTTGCTCCACGTTCATGTATAAATGTATCAAAATTGTAGATTGGTTTCTGTTTTCATGTTAAATTCTCTTGATTTTCCGAGACCAGATTTATAAATAATGATAATGATATGTTTAAAAAGAAACATTTGTTTATTTGCAAAGAGGAAGATTTCATTCACAAAAATACAAATAATGTACTTGGAATAGGTTTAATCTTGGATATTGGCCAAAAAAAAAAAAAAAAATGTTAACAACCCAAAGGGCCACATTTCATTCAAAAGACATGCCAGAGTTATGATTCTTGGAAAGTAACCATGAATTGTAATTCAAAAAGCATGATTCAAGTTTAAACATATGTTTAAATGAAAGCATACAGAAGTAAATTATAAATGATTGATATAATTTTAGGACTCTGCAGGTCATTTTGTGTGAGTATAAGATCTCTAAAATATTCCCCACTTCCTTTTCATGTAATTGTGTAAGTTATTAATGTTTCAAAGTTATGTCTGAAACTAAGGATGATCATGGTATTGTTTGCCATGACCATGGTCTGCACTGTTTGCCATTAAGTCAGTACATATTATCAAATTTACCCTAAAAATAATGAATGGTTTTGCCCATATTGAAAGTTATAGTCCGTTTAATATGTTTAGCAGAATAAGGATAAATGTATTTATTACATGCTTTTCGATGGATTATAGAAATATATCAGTGATTTATAAACTGGTAATTTCACTGTTTGAAACAGTGAAATTATCAATTTGATAATTTCACTGTTTTGAATTTAAGCCCGTTACGTTGTCTCAGAGAAATACCAGCGTGCATAGTACTGGAAACCAGCTTAATGACGTGACGTCGTAAATGACGTCACGTTGTATTAGAATTTGGCGCGCTTTTCATTTAGTACTAGGATAAAATGTCTTTTTAAACGTTTCTTAGCATGTAATAAAAAGAAAATTTGTTTAGTTTAGTGTAAGATCGAAATATATTTCACCTCGTGAACACCAAAAGTTCATATTTCACTCGTGGCTGCGCCACTCGTGAAATATACCTTTTGGTGCTCACTCGGTGAAATATATTCCGTTCTTACACTGAACTTAACAAATATCCTCTATGTATTACCCTTAACCCATTATTTCAAAAACCAAATAACTTTAATTTTTTATAAATCCAAAGTTTTTTATCAATTTGTATTAGCTTAATCTTGGTGTTGGCTTGTACCGGTAAATTTTTTTTAAGACATTTGGTTTTAAATCAGTTGGTTGGTAAGTTAGGATAAAGGCGGGAGATAAAATGCTAAAAATAGAATTTAAATGAAGCTGACACTGAAAATAATTTAGTCTGGATAGGGTAGATGTTATGTTTTATGTTTGTATGTCAAGTGTTCTATTACCCAAATTGTCAAATTGTAACCCAATAAACCCACCTTCTATGAGATTATTCTAACTGTTCTTCCCTAACAGGTTGTTGCTCCTAATCTCACATTGCCTATACATTGCGTGATACCCTGATAAACACGGGCAAATTTGTTCTTTTATAGCTTGACTGTTTAAAGAAAAGTTGGGCTATCCAGCTCTCCTGTACTATCCAGCTCTCCTGTACTAGCTTCAGCATAATACCTGGTTAAGGTTTTGCTTAAATCATTGGATTTCAATTTTATATTACACATTTTTAAGTAATTCAATGGTAAATAATCATTGAAGGTATTCACTTGAAACTTCATACATTATGTTACTATAATGATAGTAATTTATACATATACAGTCCAACCCCGTTTATTCGAAGTGCCTGGGACTGAATATTTACTTCGAATAATCGATGGGTTCGAATAATCGAAATCCGAATATTGTGATAGACGAAAACTACTCCACTTTGACGAATCGTAGTAAAACTACCGTTTAAAACACATTTACTTCCTGTAATCAATTGAGAAAAATAAATATTAAAGAAAAGATGCGTAAAAATTATTGTATTGACATTGAAGACATAAATACTTGCATTTTATTCTACATTATGTATCGCTTCGTTTCGCGCAAAACCTTGATAATGGCCGTGTTGTCACTACGGTATTTACAGCTAAACTCTGGTATTTTCGATTAGGAAAAAGGCTCTTATGTAGCGTTTTGGATGTTTTGACAAATTTACATATACGGTATGTATGAAAAATATTGCTGTCATCTTCAAGCAATAACAGTAACAAAATCGGACACGGTGCATTGCTTTTCATTTTCGGTAATTAAAGTTGATTAAAGAACACAAAAAGAGCTATTATCACGATTGTCTAAATACATGCATGACTATTGATGTTTTTCACAAGTCGACCAGTCAGCGAGCGGATCTGCGCCATTAAGTCTGACTTCGAATAATAATTAGGCTGGCTTCGAATAATAGGTGTGAAATTCTTTCATAATTGTATAGTCGGGACCGAAATTTTACTTCGAAAAATAGGAGGTATTCGGATAATGCATTTCGAATAATACGCTCGTTTTTATATTGATTTATATAGAGATAAAAACGGGACCGCCGATCTACTTCGGATAATGCCGGGTATTCGAATAAAGGGTTGTCGAATAACCGGGGTCGGACTGTATAGACTGTATTTTATTATCAAACACAGAAAATATTTGAGTGTGCTGCTTGGTCTTATTAATTACCTAAAGAGATGCTTTGGTAGTTTAGTGCGGAGGAAGGTAATCTAGTCCTGGTGTAACTCTCCAGGAACGATGGATAGGAAACTACCCGCCTATATGACTGAAATACTGTTGGAAAAAGGCGTAAAATAAAACAAACAAACAAACAAATAATTACCTAAAAGTATACTATACATATTAAATACATATATAATTGTGCTTATATTATGCTTATAAAGAAAGAAATCATCATCTATAAATTTCATTTTTTTATTTATTTTTCATTGTCAAGTTGAGCTTAGTTGACTATATATTTCACAAGAATGACTGTTAACCCTTTACCACATATATACGCGAAACAACGCACTTTCGACCCCCCCCCCCCCTTTGTAGGCATCAAATAGTGAAAAAATGTCCTATTTGGACCCCAAACATAAGTTTTCGTTTGAGAAATGTTGCTAAAAAAATTGAGCACTTTTTCGGCGCCGCCCCCCATCCAAGAAAATTTTGGACTTGTGAGAGGCTAAAAATGACCCCAGGTTGATCATAATGTAACGTTTAACCAACGCTGAAAAGCCTTTGACTCTATCTCAATCCCTTGAGCAGTTGCAGCACTTTGAAATAAATTTTGATGGAAAAAATCGAGGCAACATAGTGATTTTTGGCAATTTTGAGATGTCCCCTCGTTGCCATGGTAACAGGAAATTTAAGACTGAGCATGTCTTTACAAAGGCAATGGTCCAGTCAACATTTGAGCCAAGTTTGATTAGTATTGAAGCATTTTTCATAGTTTCATAGCAGTTTGAACTTGTAACAGGAGGCTTTTCAGTGAAAACGGCCATTTTTCACAATATGCTCATGGGGGAAAGGGTTAACTAAAAAAATTATAAATGTTACAAAACAACAATTTTTCACCAAAATTATGTGAAAGACCACATGTTAACATGGAAAAACTAGTTTTTAGGTGATTCCAAAGTTTTTCATCATTTTTTGTTAACCCTTTACCACATATATACGCAAAACAACGCACTTTCGACCCCCCCCCCCTTTGTAGGCATCAAATAGTGAAAAAATGTCCTATTTGGACCCCAAACATAAGTTTTCGTTTGAGAAATGTTGCTAAAAAAATTGAGCACTTTTTCGGCGTTGTTCCCCATCCAAAAGTTACATCAGGGGGTTGTTTGAAGGGGGGCGGAGTCCCCCTCATCGCCAAGAAAATTTTGGACTTGTGAGAGGCTAAAAATGACCCCAGGTTGATCATAATGTAACGTTTAACCAACGCTGAAAAGCCTTTGACTCTATCTCAATCCCTTGAGCAGTTGCAGCACTTTGAAATAAATTTTGATGGAAAAAATCGAGGCAACATAGTGATTTTTGGCAATTTTGAGATGTCCCCTCGTTGCCATGGTAACAGGAAATTTAAGACTGAGCATGTCTTTACAAAGGCAATGGTCCAGTCAACATTTGAGCTAAGTTTGATTAGTATTGAAGCATTTTTCATAGTTTCATAGCAGTTTGAACTTGTAACAGGAGGCTTTTCAGTGAAAACGGCCATTTTTCACAATATGCTCATGGGGGAAAGGGTTAACATTGTGGCTGACCAACAGTTGATATTGCATGTAACAAGTAAATTTATGATGAATATTTAATGAGTCATTTGAGTTATTCATTATTCATGCAAAGTAAATTATAAAATTGAAAGGAATTATGGCAAAGTGAACTAGTATTGACTTTCACCAGTGTTCACTATACACTTGGATGGACATAATGTCACTTTAAGATACAAAAGTAACTCATATTTATTTCAGAGCAAAATCATTAAAGATAACAAGTAAATTCATTCATTGGCTTAAATTCATCTAGTGATTAAGCCCTGTGTTGGATGGAACAAAAATATACCAGTAGCAAGGAAACTTGCTGCAGTATTGACTTTCACTGTTACATAATGCTTTTATTTATCTGTTTGTTTTTTTATAGAGATGCTGCCACACAAGTGCAGACAGAGAGCCCCAGTCACCAGCCACTACTGTCTGAAGGTGAAGGTCACTCAAAGGTCATTGTAGATGACATTGAAAATAGTGCTGAAATGACCTCTATTTGTAATGATAGAGATTTTACTGACTCAATACTCCATGCTTCAAATTCAACCCACCTGGTTATTCATGATAGGTCAAGGGTCACTCCAGAGTTGATGAAAACAAATGACCTTGACCTCTCAGGGGTGAGAAAATGTGATATATGTGATAAAGCATGTGTGATGTGTGTGCTTCACAGAGCTCAGTTACAACTCCAGACTGCTGTTGAAGAAATGGAAAATCCAAAGAGCTCCAGGCAGTTCTGTAGTTGCGATGATCACAAACATGTGCATGCCCTAGATTGCAATAAGTCGTAAGGTCATTCCCATTTATTCTATTTATGGATGTACATGTGTATTTGTTGTGATTTATGTTTGTAGTTAAAAGTCTTCATCTTAAAGGCCCTTTAAGCCCCACCAAAAATGTTTTCATTTCTCAGTTACATTTTTTTTCTGTGTGTCCTATTATAATTGCTAAAAAGGTACTTTTTGGCCATTATACATCATATAGTAACAGCTGAGCCATATTTTGGCTTCTTTTTGCTTTTTTGTAAGATGTTATAAAGTTAAAATGAGAATTTTTTATGGAAGTCAAAATTACATTTTGTTCACAATTTTCTACCTTTATCATATATAACTTCACATTCAGTGCTACTTAATTCCTCAGGTAAGTATCTTATATGATTTAAATTCATTATTATACCCCCAAAAACGAAGTTTGGGGGGGTATATAGGAGTCACCCCGTGGTCGGTTGGTCGGTCGGGCGAGCGGTCGGTCGGTCGGTCGGTCCAGACGTCCGTTGCATTTTCCTTGTCCGGAGCATAACTTGAAGACTAATGGTTGGAATTCAATATAACTACATACAATGGTCAAGCACATTGAGAGGAAGTGCAGTGCATAAGAACCATAACTCTATCTTGACTAATTACAGAGTTATTGCCCTTTGTTACTTTTCCTTGTCCGGGGCATTACTTGAAAACTACTGGTTGGAATTCAAAACAACTTCATACAATTGTCAAACACAATAAGGGGAAGTGCAGTGCACAAGAACCATAACTCTATCTAAAGTAATTACAGAGTTATTGCCCTTTGTTACTTTTCCATTGCTTTTTTTTGTCCGTACCATAACTTGAAGACTAATAGTTTGAATTCAATATAACCAGATACAATGGTCAAGCACATTGAGAGGAAGTGCAGTGCACTAGAAACATAACTCTATTTTGACTAATTACAGAGTTATTGCCCTTTGTTACTTTTCCTTGTCCGGGGCATAACTTGAAAACAACTGGTTGGAATTCAAAACAACTTCATACAATTGTCAAACACAATAAGAGGAAGTGCAGTGCACAAGAACCATAACTCTATCTAAAGTAATTACAGAGTTATTGCCCTTTGTTGCTTTTCCATTGCTTTTTTTTGTCCGGAGCATAACTTGAAGAGTAATAGTTTGAATTCAATATAACTACATACAATGGTCAAGCACATTGAGAGGAAGTGCAGTGCATAAGAACCATAACTCTATCTTGACTAATTACATAGTTATTGCCCTTTGTTACTTTTCCTTGTATGGGGCATAACTTGAAAACTACTGGTTGGAATTCAAAACAACTTCATACAATTGTCAAACACAATAAGGGGAAGTGCAGTGCACAAGAATCATAACTCTATCTAAAGTAATTACAGAGTTATTGCCCTTTGTTACTTTTCCATTGCCTTTTTTGTCCGGACCATAACTTGAAGACTAATGGTTGGAATTCAATATAACTTCATACAATGGTCAAGCACATTGAGAGAAAGTGCAGTGCACAAGAACCATAACTCCATCTTGACTTATTACAGAGTTATTGCCCTTTGTTACTTTTCCTTGTCCAGAGCATAACTTGAAAACTACTGTTTGGAATTCAATACAACTTCATACAGTTGTCAAGGACTAAAAAGGAAGTACAGTGCACAAGAGCCATAACTCCATTTTGACAAAATACAGAGTTACTGCCCTTTGATACTTTTCCTTGTCAGGAGCATAACTTAAAACGTACTGGTTGGAATTGAAAACAACTTCATACAATGGTCAAGCACAATAAGAGGAAGTGCATTGCACAAGAACTCTTACTCTATCTTCAGTATTTATAGAGTTATTGCCCTTTGTTCCTTTTCTTTGTCTTTCTGGACTTATTACAGAGTAATTCAATTAAACTTCATCAATGGCCAACCACATTGAAAGGAAATGCAACATATAAGAACCACAACTATCTTTAATTGCCCACAACCATATTCTTTTACAAGGTATTCTGTTACTAGTAACATCCTCATTTCCGAAGCAGTCTTGTGGGGGTATTAATCACATTTAGTGATAGTTCTAGTTAAATACAATTAAAAGCATGGTTGCCCTTTTTTAAGAAGAAAAAAGAAATTCACAATCATCTTAATCATAATGTACCTTTAAAATGCATTTACCAACAAGTTTGACCTTTATGTGGTATTATTCACAAATCTCCTCTCATTCTTTCATACAAGTCTCTAAATTATTCATCTTTTACATTGTAATTTTTGAAAACAGCATATACCGAGTAATAAAGACATTTTGATGGACGAAATGTATCATTTTATCATTTATTCAGTCATGTTTTTGTGTCAAGGAATAAAAACTATGTACATATTTAATAAATTCTAGAAATACCACAACAAATATGATGAGTTGAGATTGACAAAGATTTTCATTGCTAGTTAGTTGATTATTCTTCCATATTTTCAATGGTTGCCATAGTAAATTTATCAGCATTTATGTTTTATAACTATTTAGTACATGTAGTAAAAACAATTGTATTTTATTTTTCACCTTTGATTTTAAGATAAGATAATAATTATCAGGTCATTTTTTTGGGTACCGTGTAAAATTCTATATTACTTTTTTCTATAGCTGTAAATGAAATTTAAAAATGTCCTTACGCTACTTAATAAGAATATTCTTGCATAATTATCAGACAGGATAATCTACTGTTTACGCTCTTGTTGAAAGAAAAGTCTGTTTTAAATGACGTCATTCCCTCGCGCCTTGTTATCGCTGTAAACAGTTACCATTAAGCTAGATATTCCGGTCTGTAACCGGCAACTGGTGTAAATTCCTTATAATTTTTAGCATTACCTTAAACAAATTGCTGTCTGAAATAGAATTCATTTTGTGAAAATTATTTTTAAAGGGTAAAATATCTATAGTGAACGATGATGGAAAAAATTATTTTTGTAAAAACTTAATGAGAAAGAAGATAATTCTTTATGAAGAAATAAATTGAAATAAGTTGTAAGAGTTAATAGAAACAAGGTCTCAAGATGGATGTAGCTAAGTGAAGTACAGTAAATTCATGACTTTTATAACATAATTATTATTGTTGTTTTTTTTTTTCTCAAAAAATCACGGTTTAAAAATAATTAAGTCTTTTTGGTAAAAAAAGTAGGTAAATAATTAATTTGTAAATGTTGTACATATTATTTATTTTGAATAGTAGTATAGTGTTGCTATTTTTGTGAATTTATTTTGTGTGTGTGTTTTTTTGTACAGGTGAAGATTATGCCCATTATTTTATTTGTATTATATTTAAATTTTCAAGTTTTAAGCATTATATGTATTTATATTCTATCTTAAGATTATGTGTCATATTGAGATTTAGAAAGTTAATATCCATGGCAATAGTTTAGTAGTTATGATAGTTCTTATAACTGTGATTAGATTTTTATATTTATATAAGTGAATGATATTGAGCAGGTTATATGTTGCTTATTTATATGTATTTATAAACTCTCTACTGTTATAAATTTTATATAGAATCTTACATAAGTTGTCAGTTTCAATAGACAATTGTTAAATAAATTTCTGGGGTCATCTGTGGCCGACTTGAAAACACTTGCACCTCACCACTATGGGTTAGAATCCAGACAGGGACTTTGAAGAATTCTTTTATCCAGCTAGCTTATGGAACTTCGGTGGTTTCTACTCAAGTGCCATTTGTGCCCGAAATAATGCACAGAAGGGTATATGAGGTCTCCCTTCACTGGTAAAGCTGAAAAGTCACCATATGACCTTCACTGTGTTGATGCAGCGTAAAACCCAACCAAAAAAGAAATAAATGACAGAATTTGTTACAAAGCAAGCCTATGGTAAGCTGTATAGCATTTCATGGATGATTTCATCACAAGTTCAATGTCAGTCTATATAAAACTGTAACATGTGTGAGATTCTTTTAATCATGTGATATTAGTATGTCTATTACAAAAAAATACAACAAAAAAAGCATAGTCACTGTTTTAGGGCATTTTTTTTTTAATAATCTGTATAATATAAATATATTGATAACACTGCACATTTGTAAAGACAATTTTCATGGGATAATCATTATTATTTATATAATGTACATGACTATACATAACTGTTGCTTTGAGAAGTAAATTTCAAATTTGGTGAAATATAGGAAATTTGCTGTATTATAGATTAATAACCAAGATTTCTTACAAGTTATATGGTGTTGTATTACTGGGTAATTGCAATATAACCTTACAAACATATGACAATATAGAAAGGATTATATACAATATAACCTTACAAATATTTATACTGGGCAATATAACCTGTCAAAAAATATGTATAAGTATAACTAATAACATTTTTTATGAGCTTGGTAAGCATTTGATACACATGTATGTTGTTGGTGTTACTTTACCCATGGTTATATGTGTCTATGTCTAATATAATTCTCCTTTTAGTTATTCCAAAGAAATATTTATTTCAGCTCAGGTAATCTTAAATGAATAACTGTAATAAAACATTATTGAAATCTCATTTGAGTAAACTTTAATTAAAGGTCAGAAGTTATCTGTTTCTCCTTTACCTATTTTTTTTTCTTGCCAAAGATGAAGGGTTATAGTAGTACAATTGTATATCATTTTCATAAATTAAAGTAGTTTAAATGTGATTGATTTTAATTTAGCTATAATTACAAGATAAATTACATGTGCCATTGTTTCTTTGGTTTAACAGAATCTATTTTAAGATAAGGTAACTAGAAAGAAAATTACATGTTAACACCAGGGATGTTTATATTATTTTATTATCTACAGGTTTCGACCTACCGTGAGGTCTTCATCAGGAATCAGAATCTATTTTAGTTCATTTGTGTAGGAAGCTATAAGCTTATAGACACACTTTCGAATCTGTTCCTGTAACCAACCAGTGAGGAGTGTAAAGTTTCTTGCTCAAGGAAACAATGGCTTGCCCCTGACAGGGTTTTGTACCTGCACGGCTTGCAAACCATAAATAACTAGTCTGACGCTTTAATCACTCAGCCACATTGTTTCGTTTGTTTTATTTGACAACCTATCAATTACTTGATAATTACTCATGGAATACAAATAAAGCATAATAATATTTAAAAAAAGTGTCATTTATTTCTTTGAATTTATAGTTTGATGTTTCAATAGTTAATCTATCAGTAAAAATTGATTTTTTTATAAATATGAAGTATCATTACCAGAAGACCTGCGTCTTTGGGATGTTTTATGGTATGGTAATGTCCGTCCCTCTGTCAGTCCCGGTATTACGTAGAATATTAGTTTTCGCATGATTTATTTCCGAAGAAATTTCATTGATTGTGTAGATATTTGTCATATAAGTAGATGTATGTTATATATTGATTCATTTTCACCGTGATAAACTGATTATTGAGTTATGGCCCTTTATAACCAAATTTTCTATGAAATTGTTGGAATGACTTGTGAAAAGTCGACCAGTGAGTGTCTAAACACCTGTTCTTCTGGTATGTTAGGGAAGTTTATCTTTGGACAAGACTAAAAGCTACATGTATTCATAACATTCATGACTATTTAAGATGATCATTTGAATAATTTTGACAATTATGAGTTGTTGACGTGTTTTTTGTGTACCTTTACAGAGCTTTCACTTTTACGATTTTCAGCTCAACCCTTTTTTTGTTTGTTCTTTTTGTTTTTTGTTTTTTTTTAAATAGAGGTATTTTTACAGTCATGGAGGCATTCTCGTTGCTGTTGCCGTCAGCAAACTAACCTTGATCATAACTTTGTAAGCCCATGGTGTATTGTCTTCATACTTGGCCACAACAACCCTTGATGCAAGGCCTTCAAGTAGACCAGAATAAACTTGACCATTATTCATAAATGACCTTGACCTTTAAGGTCAAATGTCTAAATTTTGCTTGATTTTTGCTATAGGTCAAGGTCAAATTAATGAAATTTTTTGAAGAAGTGACCAACATTCTTGTCCTTTGTTGTACAGCCATGAATTTGGACAAGGTGCACAGTTTTAGATAAAAAATTGAAATTTTATATCAGCTGACCTAGATAATTTGATGAAATGACCTTTTTTCTTGTCCTTTGATGTACAGCTATGTACTTTGGACAAGACCACAGTTTCAGATGTAAACTTGATCATTGAACATTATAGAAATTAATACTAATGATTCATACTTGGACAAAACAACAAGTGTGACTAGACCTACTTATTGAAATATAAAAAAAGAAAAAGTCGATTGTTTCTCACGCCCGGCGGTGACCCTTGTTAAAGTAAACAATGGTTTGACCTGCATTGCACTCTCTGCACCATTTTAACCTGCTTGTTGAAAGTGCAAGTAGAAGGAGGCATATGTATAGGAGTGGTAACATCAAATGACACAACCTTACTTTATTTTCTTGAGTTTTATTGTGTGAAATGAAAACAGAGAATAGGGGGAAACTATTGTAAAATTTTATATCTATTTCTAATGGACATTACTGCAGCCTGGTTGGCGTTTCAGGTTGTGCCAGTAGTGGAGAGTATCTGCATGATGACATCCGTTTGGACCACCATTGTGTTCCCGCGCGAATCCCTCGCACGTCATTGGACAATGATAGTGCGACGCATAACGTTTAATGTAGGCCTGAACGCATTGAGACGCGCAGTGAATGTCGTCTGCACATGCTTTCCACCCTGCAAACATAGAGTAGATATTCTTAAAAAATACTGCTTGAAAGATATAAATGGATAAAGTTTTACGTGATTTAGAATGAGCATTTCCCGGATGAATAAAAATATTTTGTTTTAGAACACTTTAAATCTGCTACATGTATATAAATGAGCCGCGTCATGACAAAACCAACATAATGGGTTTGCGATCAGCATGGATCCAGACCAGCCTGCGCATCCGCTCAGTCTGATCAGAATCCATGCTGTTCGCTATCGGTTTCTCTACTTGTTATAGAGTTTGTAAGCGAACAGCATGGATCCTGATCAGACTGCGCGGAATGCGCAGGCTGGTCTGGATCCATGCTGGTCGCAAACCCATTATGTTGGTTTTGTCGTGACGCGGCTCATATGTGTAATATATGCGCATGTTTCTCACACTTATCAACAACTTCCGGCCGTGGTTTGTTGTTATATCTAATACTAAATACTATCAACGTAATTATTCATTGTATTACAGACCTTCAATAATAGATCAGTTCACATTAATTTCAAATTTCCCAAAAGATCCTTAAGTAAAAAAAAAGTTATATATAATAGTGTAAGAGAAGAATGGTTCGTATATTAAATTACATTTGAAATAGCCTGATGGCTATTGCTAATTATCTAAAGTCACCTATTTTTTAGTTTCCATAGAAATTGGCATCTTGAAATAATCAGTACACCTTGGAAGAGCTGTCATTTACTGTCATTTACTCACAAAAATTCTGTACTGATTTTTATTAAAGAAAATACAAAGAAATCAAAGAAATGTTTAGTTCAATACATGCACGAATGTACAAAATATTAAGTAAAGAAGTAACAATGTATTAGCTCCCACAAATGATAATGTATTGTATCGTTTGTAACCAAAATTATGTGTCGCATTAAAACATTTGACGACAGAACACTATTGTTCTTTATTACCACCTTAATTAATAACACCTTAATAACACCTTAATAACACCTTAAATTAGCGAAGAAAGACAGACAATACCAGTGCAACTATTTACCTAATTCAAGTATAATTGTGCCATTTTGATAATAACAGCCACAACCCTTCTTACTTTTTTATTGAAATATTCTGACACTAGGAATTCCGATTTTTTGTTATTTTGAATACTTAGTATCTCAAGCATTTGGCTGACGGGTTGCCGAAAAGGATTGGGGCATCAAAATTTGCAACCACTGTTAAACCCTGCTTGATCGTATGATGCGAAGAATTATTGGAGTCTATATGTATCTCTTAGCTTCAGCAGGTGCAGAGTGGTTTCGACACATGCTGTTGCTGTAAGTTCGTAACACCCCGAGGGTTTCGGCGCCTTATGACCTAAATTGTGTTCGTGTGCCGTAAAACCAAACAAAACAAATCTATTTTGAATATAATATGATTCTGTATAGTATATAGAAATAAGAAAGTATTATTTAAACAATTACCGGATCCTGGTCGTCCGCAATCAATCCAGTATGGTTCTTTGATCTGAAAATATCCGCACGAGAGCGTTCCTTCATCCATATTACAACCTATAGGATGACATCCCCCGGACTCCAGCTGAAAACAGTGTATACACTTTCAATGCACCGATGCACAAAATCACAATTGAGTAATTACGATAATTGAAATTTATTCGCAATTTATATATGGTAACTCAAACTCTTTTTTTCTATTTTCCCTGTTTTTTATGGTTATTTTTGTTATATTAGTACTCGGATACATTTAAAAACTTATATGTATACTCCAATTTTCAAGTAACACGTCGATGTGGAATTTGTACAATTGTTAAATTAAGAAAGCATAAACATAAAAAACCCTCACGTTGCATATACATTGTAGACAAGCCTGTGATACAGACCCAGATGCAAATGTTGCCCTCTTTTCTATGTGAGAACTGGATACCACATAAAAACATCCGATTAGGACTGCAACAAAGAGCTTCATTCTTCCCATGCGGTAGATTTATCTCGTGTATTACGTTGAAGTTAGCTTTGGAGTTATATATAGTTTATCTTATCTGATTTTCATAATCTGCTGTAATAATTACTGTCACAATGATCGGATTGTGGTGAACTATGGGAACTGAAAGCTGCCAGTTTCTGTTTAGTGTAATCAGTGTATTCTGAATATATTAAAAATACGATGAGCATACTGGCCAACATGACAATAGTAAATCTTTTTAACATTAAGACATGTAAATTACTTAAAATTAGTTTTTTTTTGTTGACCTGCATGGTACGTATTGTTGATGTTATTCTTTATTTACAAATTTGCAACTTAAAGTGTTAAAATATTAACACTTAACAGATCATGCACTGTTTCCATATTGTTATTAGGTAGCAACTTTGTGGCATGTAAAAGGCAGCGGTCAATGATTTATGGAAGGACTGAAATATCATTTAAGATCGAAGCCTTTTTTGTATCACCATTGGTCACTTTCGTAGCAAAAGTGAAAAAAACTTATTCTTTGTCGTAATGAAGAAAAAGTACAACTTCAACATATAAAGCAAATCTCCACAAACACAGGTATTGATAGAAAGAAAATGAAATACTACGTAATGATCAATCAAATAACTTTCAGAACTTTTATTGAAAGTACCTGAGCAAAGCAAATGCAATGCGAAAACATCATTAAACAAAAAGTAACATTTTGATTTAATTCTAATTGCTTATTAAGCAATTAAAATTTGTTACATCGTGTCCTTAATATTGCAATTATTTTTCTTGTCTTCAGATAGTTATTAGACTACTTCAATTTCATTTGATTTATATTTTGTCATAACCTTATCAGTGGCCGATCTTATACCATGGATATAAGATATACTTTTCATAACAATAGGTATATCTGTCGTTATGATGTATATCGCTAATGCTATAAATACGACTGACGCAATAATTCCTATAGTTAGTGAGGATTTACGTTTGTCGGAGATGCTAGTCAGCTTTCTCCTATACCGTGATATGTTTTGTTTCGCTACTGTGTTTGATAATGCGAACCATTCATTCCACTCGCTGATAGTCATTTTAGACTTGTTGTAAGTGTTACACAAACACGGCATAATGAACAAAGGTTTGGTAAATTGAGACGTAGATAACGCGGAACTTTGAGTAGACATGCTCAAAAGTGTAGTGGTTGACAAGTTGTTTGTTGTGCAAGTGGTCAAATATGTGAAAGATGCTGAAATTGCTGATTCTGTAGAAACTGATAATGTTGTTAAAGAAGAAATGGTATCTGTTTCAACTTCAGGAGAAACAGTTGTTGAGTGTGTTGATGACACATGTCCTGTAACAGACGAAGACTGAAGTGTTGTGCTTGATTCAAAAGATACTGACGGTAAAATTGAAGTAGTTGATGTAACTGATGATGAGGTAGATGACAACTCGTATGTTGAGTATGATTCAGAAGATGTGAGCGTAGAAATTGATGACATTGATGACACTTGTTCTGAAGTCGAGGGCGACAAGAGTGTTGTGGTTAATCCAATAGACAAAAGCGGTGAAACTGAAGATGTGAGTAATGAGTTTTCTGAAGTGGTTGGTGACTGGGACTCTGTACTTGATGTCGACCATGAAATCGAACTTGTTGACACTGTGCTAGTAGTAGTAATTGTTGTTGTAGTTGTTGTTGTATAACACAATTGGTCACTTAAATCGGCTGCAATGATAAGAAAAGCTATATAAAGTAATACATGTATAATATAGGAGTTCAGATGAAGGTCTTTGACAATTGTATCTGTAAGTACTTCAGTTTGAAATGCTGATCTCGCAGATTTGTAAATTAAGAGCGTTTTGTTATTTGCTTTGTCAGAATCAAACTTGCATGCTGCAATTGTTCATTTTACTTTGCACGTAAGCTCAATTGAAGATCATTGACCTTCAGACAGAAAATTTAAAAACCCTGAACGAATAAAGGTACGATAAAGATATATGTAACTACATGTATAAGTTATTGCATATTTTCAGAAGGCATTTCATTGAAAAATAATAAGTAACGGCTATATGTTTACAATATCAACCCTATCTTAATAAATACAAATGTAACAATACTCTACATACTAGGCATTAAATCCAAGCACGGGGTATTTGGCAGTACACTGGAATCATTGGATACGAGAGGAGGAAATCTGAAAACTGAGGCTGAAATTGATCACCAAATAAGACATTACAAAATATGGAATGAATAAATGCATATGCTGCTTAAGTCAACGACTGAAAAAAAAACTATTTTTGAATACACACTAAAGATTGCTGAATGATGAGAAAATGTATTTTATGAAACTGCATTTTTTTTGCCAAAAGTTGACGAAGCCAAAAACTTTACAAACCATATGCAAAATTTTATTAATGTGAAACGGTGTTTGATTATTTAAGTAATTGCTTTAATAATATGCAAGACTTACCAGAGAAACATGATTTAAAGAAGACTTCATATCCATTCTTCACTACATTATTTTCCTTACAATAACCTGGATCTACATCAAACACCAGGTTACAAGTGAGCGGTCCTGTTTTCACAGCTGCCCAACATTCAGTACCATCTTTTATCACTGAATGACAGTCTGCTACACACGTGACTAAAGGAACGCTTTGAAGTGAACCATATGGACCAAGAGAGCAGTCGATGTCGAATAAAACGTCTAACATGTCACAAGGCCCTGAATTACAATAAAGCACGTGTAATGTTAATACAGATTTGTGAATTCGTGTACTGTTAGATAACTACTTAATTTGGAAAGGTTTTATCGGTTGCAATGAAACGGAAAATCTGATTTAAACCAAACATAAAAAACACACACAAAAATAGATAATCTTTCTCTGAGATCATTCTTTCTGCACCACTGAATTATACCTATTTTCATTTCGCACACAAATTGCAATGTCATAACGCATGGTCTTTTGACGAATTGCATATCGTTGTTGATCGCTGTACAATAGTTGTTTATATCCGCTGTGTAGAAAGGGTCCGTAAAATCTGTCCAGTCCGGCAGGGAACAGTCCGAGGCCCAACGAAGCGAACAAGGATCGTCCGAATGTAACTGAGAGAGACCGATCCATAAATCGCCAGTTCTTAAAAGTACGAAATGTCATTGTAAAACATATCAATAATTTAGTAACGATTTGGTATAAATATAGCTAACTAATATGGGTGACGAAGATGTCTGTGCTTTAAGCTAGCGATCTTGCTTCAAGCCCTATTTTGGTCAAGACATTGTTTCTTCATATGCCACCAGCACAAGTACCGAACTCAAGCTGGATTTATACAAATTTCGCATTTGAGCCTAACCTTTGCTGTTTTGTTGTCCATTAGTCATGCGAACTTGAAGTGAGGACAATTTGCAACAAGAGATCACATCCATAAAAGGGATTTTTAAATATTTATATTAACGATTCTATGACAAACTAGTGTTTATCTTGTATTTTTCCATATCAAAATGAATATGTGTGTTGAATACATTTGCATCGCAACATATATCGCATTGGTCTCTACTGCAAATGTTATGTTGATAACCATATGCTTAAATTAACAATTAATATTTTGCTGTTTTAAAAGTCTGGTTGTTTGAGTTCAATTTTAACAATATAAATATAATATGTAATTTGTATTAATGGATTATTATGTAATTTTACAGATCGCCATCTGTGATCCATGCATTCACGTAACGCTGTAACATATGTCGTTTTGATGCATCATCCACTTGTAATAATGTACCCCCAACAGAACTGCATGCCGACAACGCCTCGTTCCATGAACTGATCGCCGTATATAGCACAAACTCTATCTTTTCTGTTGTCGGTATTGACGCACCTACAAGCAAAATTTTCAAGTTTGAGGAGCATTGGAATTTAACTATTACACAATAAACTAAGGTGTCAACAATAATTGTCTATTCTTCTTGAAATTATCTTGAAGCATTGATAATTAAGCAAACTTAAAATTTGTGGATGATATACTATGCAAGTAAGATTCAATCGATGGTTACATGAAAAACAAAACAGGCGAAGTTGGTCGTTTGATATGGTGTTTAAAATTCTTCAAAATTGGGAACAAAACTTACTATGATCTGGTACATTGTTATCAGGACATTCTGACATAATTCCTGACACATCACAGCATGATTTTGGTACAAGACTGTAATCAGCGTCACCTTCTCTAAGCATAAGTGTATCTTCAAATAATAAAACAATATCTATAGGAGATGTTCTTTAGCCTTAACAATCCCATTCATTATAAATGTATAGAAATAAACAACATATGAGCCGCGTCATGACAAAACCAACATAGTGCGTTTGCGACCAGCATGAATCCAGACCAGCCTGCGCATCCGTGCAGGCTGATCAGGATCCATGCTGTTCGCTATCAGTTTATCTTCTTGTTATAGGGTTAGTAAGCGAACAGCATGGATCCTGATCAGACTGCGCGGATGCGCAAGCTGGTCTGGATCCATGCTGGTCGCAAATGAACTTTGTTGGTTTTGTCATGACGCGGCTCATATATATTTTGACATTCTAAAATCAATTACAATGTACTTGTATGAACTCAAAATTTATTTGCACATTTGTTCGTTTTTATTTTTTCATTGAAAAGGTACTATTCAATATTTGAATAAAGACATATGATAAACACACCGACCTGACCAAATCAGTTTCGAATGGAATATGTAAGGCTCTGTGCTCGGTTCAGTGAATATTGATATGTTTGTATATGAGTTATTCGTAAAGAAAAGATGGCAATATGTCAATGTGTCTATTTCAGCTTGAAGAACTGCAAAACCCCAGCACTCTTGGTCATCATATGTCAATTTTGAACACATGTCTTTGCATGATGCCTCTGTAACATTGTACGGACCAACGGAAACTCCCAACCCCATGGTGTACTGTAGTCCATTTGAGTAGCTATGACTGGAACCTAAAATTAAATGAAATAACAATTTAATATAGCAATATTTATATTTATCAAGTTAGATATGTAATCTTTAAATTCATTTTTAAGTAAGTAACATTGAAGTTATAGTAAACAGATACTTTACTTCGACTCTTAGGTATTTTTTCTGAATTTTTTATCATTTTTGTAGCGAAATGAAAACAACAAAAAAAAAAAAAAAAACACGCACACAAAAAATTAAAAAAAAAAAAACGTTCAACGACAATTTATCAAAGCATTTTAATCAATATTTAAAAACAATCTTCCTAAGGAACTTCCAAAATGGTACAATTGAAAATGTGTCAAGCTCGTTTTGATGTGGAACCATACAAACAAGATTTTACCATACTCTCCAGTGCATATAAAGTAGTGCATATCGTTACACTTCGTTGTATACCAGTAGTTCGTTCTTGTATCTAACACTACACATAATGACGTGTCACTGAGGTCCGACGACGGCGGTGAATTCGGATCCCAATTTGAGCTTTTACTTTCGCCACAGTCTGACCAGACCCTTATGTCAGTGTGGTTTATTGGGTCCGGTTCGTGAAGCCCGATCCATATGTAATCCATTCTAAAAAAATAAATACAAGTGTAAAGAAAAAACTAAAATTGAAAATAGTGTAAATAAAAGCGGTTTCCAAACATTATAAACATTTTAAATGATCCTTATTGACAAACTGGATGAAAGAATTTCACTTTCCTAACATTTGTTTGTCAAAATATTTAAGGATACGAGTTTGCAATAACAGAAAAATTAAATTTGAAATACACATGTAAATAACACATGGCTAGATTTAATAACAACATTCAGCCCCATTACTCACCTTCCACGTCTTAATACAATAGCTAAATCTTCATTTATTTTGGCAGCAATGTATCTGAACACATTTCAACTATCTTATAATTTATCAAGTTTTTATTATTATTATTTACTTAGTATAAGTAATTGGGCGAATATCTTAGAATTTTTAAAGTTAGAGTATGATTAAATGCACAGTACCTTTGTAAATAATCATATACATCAACTAACTGTCCGATAGCTAAATAATCATCTTGGGTTTGAATCTCTAAAAGTTTAAGGCCGTTCTGTTTACATGTGGTATACGCTTCATTCCATGTCCAAACGCCATAATAAACAAATACTTGCAATGATGACACGGTGCTGTTCACAAAAGTTGGAATGCCTGAAATGGATATGATGAACACTTGTGAAAAGTCAATTGTTGCATTAGATCTACTGAATTGACATTTGAGCCGCGCCATGACAAAACTAACATAATGGGTTTGCGACCAGCATGGATCCAGACCCGCCTGCGCATCCGCGCAGTCTGATCAGGATCCATGCTGTTCGCTTACAAAGCCTATAACAAGTAGAGAAACTGATAGCGACAGCATGGATCCAGACCAGCCTGCGCATCCGCATTATGTTGGTTTGTCATGACGTGGCTCAATTGTTGTGATCTTATATTTCTATTTAATTGAAATCAATAAAATAACTTCACTGAATCCTATACAGATGACCTTTCAAAACTGAATCAACAAACTTTTAACTATGATATTAATTAACGTTTTCCCATACTAAAATGAATATGCTAAAATGAAAAAAATAGCACTTGTGAATTGTATTTATAAGAGAAAGATTTTTTTTAAAAAAAGATGAATTGGTCTAAAATTGTCTTATAAATTTTCCAAGAGAAATCCAAATATTGATGAAAACAAAAGAAATGTATCACTTGGATATTCTTATAAAATATTTCCGAAAAGTTAGTAACAGATTTTTTATGAACATATTAATATATGATGCATAATAATATTTTATTCTAGAACACTTTATTATCTGCCATACATTGACATCGTATTACAGACCTTCAATTATAGACCAATTCACTTTAATTGAATTAAATAAATAACTTAAATAAATAAAATAATTGAAATACTAATAATCACCACAAATGGATTCTGGTTTGACTGAAATGTCGGCTGCTACATCAAGCGTTTGATTGTTTACAGCGTCTAAAATGTCTTTTTGTAGTTTTTAATGAAAAGTTAAATTTAAAACAATGAGAATAATTTTAGAATTTTCAAATGAAGATATTCGTTAAGTACATTTGAAATTTGTAAAATTGTGAAATTGTAAAATTAATACTAAGAGTAAAAAAATTTGTTTGGGGAAAATGTTTAATCCAAAAACTTACTTGCAAAGCTTTCTTTATAAAAGTTTCTTTTTAAGAGGAATTCTTTGGAAATTTATTGAAGTAAGTTGGTTTACGCCAATTGCAGACGACTTCTAAAAGGATGTGGAAAATCCCCAAATTTTTCACAACGGAAAACCCAGTGTACGTACTCGTTAGGATTTAAAACACAGTTTTGCGCAATTTTCGTCGATTCATATGGTAAATGATTCTTTATCAGTTAAATCTTCTACTGTACCATAGTATCCATCATTTTTCAAAAGTGGCATGGTTGAAGAAAAGTATAAATTAGCACCCCCTTCTATTTTAGATGAGACTGCAAGTTAAAAATTAAAACAATTTTTAACTGAAAAAATTTTAAATTTTTCACCCCATAGGGAATCCTTTAAAGTGTATTTAGATAATTCACAAATTTTGCATGTCAAAAATTTTCATGTCTGCTTCAAATTACCGTACAAAAAGGGATAACAGTTTTTAATTAAATGGTAAATAAAAAGCAAATAAAAAATTATATATGGAATATATTGAAATTTAATTCATAATAAAATAATCAAAAGTAGCAACTCATGTAAATATATAATCCATCTTGCAGTATTTATCCAAATTTGGTTTTATTTGAAATACGATTTTGGCCAAAGTGTAGAAACTGCTGTAAAATTAAAATTACTTTTTTGCATCGCTATCGCAATTGAGCAACCGTGTATAATATCCGTTCGTCAGCAATAACGCAAAGGGCAATGACATTGAACTTTTTCTTTTCCGATTGTGCTGAAATTCCATGTTCCGAACAGCATGAATCTACTATTGCACAAGCATGTGAATTTCGCGCAGAGTGGCTCACAGTTTTCAAGCAATGTGTATAAATACAGTGCTAGAGGGATATCAATTTTGTTATGTTGAATATTTTATTGAAATATATCAAATTTGAATTGAACATGTACAGTTTCTTTTGCTCTCGTGAGAATCTATATGTAAAAGGTACAAGGTACACTAATACATTGACGGCTCCACCAGCACAATCAGCAGATGATGACAGCTGATGTGTTTTTCTAAAACATCTTTTTTATTACTTTATAACTTACCACTTTCTGACATACAGTAGAACTGATGCAGTTCATCACAATGTGCACGTGTATAGCCATGTTTGGCAGTTGTTACCTCATTGATCGTTGTTACATATATTTGATCATATACACAGTAGGATGTTGCATCTCCACTCATCACAGAGTAAGGGCTGCTGGTGTTCCAATATGCAACTTGGAAATCAGACAATCTTTGGCAGTCTTTGCTGTAGAAATTATCACCAAGTGGGGTCACACGTCTGTGAAGGGAAATCCAAGCCGCAAGCCCATTTCTGCGAGTATAACATTGTACCAATATTACAAAATTCGCAATGCAATAAAACAGTTTTGATTTATACATGTTTATTTATTATCGATAAAACAATTCTTATTTTAACACGATGTAATACATTCTAACGTCTATGGCCAAGAAAAGGCATATCTTTTTTACTGTTTTCACTAGATTTCGATATGTAAATTACAATTATCACATTTACTTTTACTTAAATACTACACTGCACCAATTATAACAAAAGCAAGAAAAACAAGACAAAATGAATAATATAAGTCCGGGCCTTTGAACAGTAGACAACCAACGAATATATTTACTCAAATTAGATGTACAAATGTAAATAATACTTAGATCTTAACATGAAAACTAGAAGTTTAATAATGTTATGGTACATGAAAAAAAAAATACAGGACGAGTTCAAGAATTCATATAACATTTTCCAATTGATGTTATTGCATGTGTTAAAAAATTATCGAAAACACCTAGTAGGTTAAGCAACACATACTTAAATTCAGTTAATTATATAATGGCATGTCAAAATATGACTATTTTTTAGACAGTGTAAGGTCTATCATGGCAATTTTGTTTTTATCTCTTATCTAAAGTTAAATAATTTTCCTGAACAAACAAGTTTCATATGTTTAAACTGAATTGACAGATTGTATGCCTGGTTGTCCGTAAAAGTTTATAACGTAAATTAACAAATTTACTCGAACATGCATTTATCTTGGGTTTTAAAATGCATGTGTCCACAAAAACATTTCATCATGTTTCAAATAGAAAGTTTGGCGGGCCAGATAATATCATATAAGCCACTCAAACCAAGCTTTTTGATGTTAACAACGTTTAATTGACTGTCCAGAAATTGACGAAGAACAGGACCAAACCACATTGTCAACAGTTAAGCATGTACATGTATAATGCATATGCATGACAGTGAATATTGACATAGCGACAAACATATATACATATATATCGTACTGCTTGAACATGTTAAACTCTGCACTTTAATTATTTCACTTTAATTAACTTAGCTTGGAAAGGCATGCATTTACATCATGGTATGGTAATTTTTCAAATGAATACCCCCTGGAAAATTGCACCGTCTGTGTGACTGAGAATGTTGATGATAAAAATTATGTGATATATCTTCTCGCAAGAATATATTAAACCAAACTTTAATCTAATTGACCGCGTTTCAATAGAAAGTCTTGGATAGGACTAACTTTAGACCGTTTCACTAAATATTTTTATCTTAAGTATATAAGTTTTAGACTGTTATTTAATTTATTCTCCTGAGAAAATTAGAAAAATGCAGTGATACGCGCTTCATTCCGCAATGTGTAAATGTTCATTTTCATCGCTATTCAGAAACTGATGAGTCAGAGTCATACGTTAGGACATTATCTTTGACTCAATTTTGGTCTTGGGGCATATTTTAGACTTGGGTCTTTCCACGAGACGCAATCCAGATCTAGAATTGTAAATGAAATTGATTCGATAATTCAAGGATGCTTTATAAATCAAGTAAAAGAAAGTTGTGATTCGTCAGGAAAGTCTAGCAAATCACTAGGCCAGAATGCACCCCTTTAACAAGTAACTCGTTACGCCTTACCCAATTAGCAAATCCTTCCATGGGTCCTCGAACGTCAGCGATAATATTATGTTGAAAAAAGAATAATAGGTAATGTCCAACAGTTTCCCGCCATGGTCTGCACATATCCGAGCTGCATCATTCCAAGTCTTCGAGTCCGTGTAAAACGTGATTGTAGTAAAGTTCTTCACCGGTGGCGGTGATGCATGTGACACATAACGTGCACCTGAAGGCAACGTCAAAGTTGAAAACACGTTTTTAATAAAATTAACAGTTTTTTATCTCTTAAGTTCTTGCTTTTCAAAGATATCATGATTCTTATTTGAAGAGTGTAAAACTATTTATTGCAAATTGTAATATAAAAGTTAGAAAACTGTACATACCTGTGGTTCTTTGTTATTAGTATGGTCATTATTGGAGAAAAAATGTAGGAAAAATGTATTTCAGTATTCATATAAGAAAACAAAGCAAAACGTTCCTTAGCAAATTATTCTTCTGCTATTTTTTTAGCAAGTTAAGCTACATGAATTAGAATTTGTCACACAATAATTTTTTCAATTTAAATACTTTTATATGATTCTAAGCAAGCTATTTTTTTCAGAATACAGAAATCTAACTTTAAAATCAATATTGGACAGTGTTTGAAAATAATAATGTAGACGCTCGAAAATGTTAAGATTTCTAACCTACAATGGAATAAAGAAACATTTTTGAAGCTAACTAAACTAAAATATAACAAAATAAAATATGCATCTGTGCCGAATATTTTCCTATGGTATTCATGTTAATTATGACAATTTCCTTTATACCAAAGTAATAAATAATCAGCATGGTACACAAAACTTATAATAATTTTTTATATATGCATCACACGGGTATGCAGAAGAAAAATAAACAAATGCTTTTTACAAACGTTGACCTGAAAGTAATATTTCTAAATCATTATATAAACATGTCAAAGTTTTTTCATCCTTAAAAATTTAGTTTATGAGTAAAAATGACAATTGTAATTGCAGTATACATGCATTTTCGTTCTCTCTGACCTAACTTACATAAAAACTCCAGAAAATACAACAAGAAGAATATTACACCCTTATGCATCCTCTTTTAACTTTAAACTCACGAAATAAGCAATGGCTCATTAAATAAAAGTTTTCAGAGTACATGTATTGAAAACATAACCTTAAGAACCCAAATCGATAAGTTACACTTCCCGTGAAACATTTTAAGCATCCGTCTATCGTTCAATTAGCCAGCTAATCCGTTGGTTATCAATGACTGTCACCATCTTAATATGGACATTACAATCAAGCTTAAAGAAAAGGTCAGCAAGAATAACAATACTTATCGCAGACTTTGAATGAGACTGATCGATCTCTTATGCTTGAATGTACCTGTATCTAGAAAAGATCAGACTCAGTATCAAATGATCCTGGTTTTATAAAACTAAAATTGATCTTTTTTGCTAGAATTGAATGGTACATAATCATAATGTAAAATTTGCAAATTTGCTGATTTGCAAAGAAACAAATCCTATAAAATACAATCGACGAATATCGAAACAAATACAAAAAGAATGGGATCGAAATAAGGATCAATCTTAGAATCAAAATCAATATTTGGACAAACTATAAAATGCTCAAATATTTGAAAAGAACAATCAATTAATTTTAAAATTACACGAACATGCCATTTCAAGTACAATTTTATCAAGTTTATATTATATATTTTAACAATGGAGAATATTTGAGTTTTTAAATTTGACCCTGGTTTTGAATTTTAAATCTTAGTGAATATGGGGTCAGGTAATAGCGAAATTTGTCATTTTAGACTGAATCTTTTGGCTATAACGGTAGATTTTAAACAAATAAATAAACAAATTATTTTGTGTATAAAAGTAAACTAACTTTATTCGTTTTTAATCTCTTACTTTAAAATTAAAATGTTACATTTATTTCAGCATTGTTTAGTGTGAGGAAGACAAAGGGCACAGCAGATAGAAACTATTAAATTTTAGAATAGATTTTTTGAATACTTTATAATAATTATATGGTTGGACAAAACGTTTACAGAAGTAAATCAGATCCTTAATTGTCGTAACTTTTCGACAGCTTGCGATAGTATGATTTTTTTCGTCTTTAATAAGCCCGCCACTATTTATCATATCCTAAGTATGATATACCACTTAATGACAATGGAGGACTATGTTTAAAATCTTTCTGTTAATAATACCAATTGCATAAAAGAAGTAATTGCAAATTTAGGATCCTAGCTATTTTAATTTTTAAATTCGGCAGGAACAGGTAAAGGAACATTGCAGCTCTTGGTTTACAACCAGACAGTGCAAAAGTTCTTTAAAGAAGCATACGTTCAACGAAGCAGATCCCTTTTAAGTTTGACTTATTGTTTGAACACATTTTATCGTCATTCTACACTTAACACCGCTGTAAAAATGTATCAATGGTTTTGTTTGTTTTTGATGTCAACGAGAGAGAGAAAAATGAAACGCTCAATCTGGTATGAACAGAAATATTTAATTGTATGTATTGTTGAATTCCGATTGCAAACGGAATATTTGGTCGGATGAACTACACTTGTTATCAAATACATGTTAAAATCAAATACATAATAAAAATCATTCTTTATATTGAATAATCTTCACGTAATATTGGGCATAACAACGAAATATGATGAATAGTTTCCACGACTTCAGAAATCGCAGTAATATGGCCCTTAGCGAATATCGACCTGTTTACATACGCTACACAAATCATCCATGTAAAACAAGCAAGTGTTTAAAATTATGAAACCATTTCATTTAATAATTTCCTGCAAAAGCGACGTATATGATGTATATTCTATGATATATTAAAATTAAAATACATGTATACATTACTTTACTGGCTCATTATTATGTTTTACTATGTTTGACATGTTATTTTAATCATGATATTACTAAAAATACAAAATGTACGTATTCCTCTGAATGTATAATGAATGTCTTAGTTACTTATTGCTGACTTACTGATATATATATATGTCGTATCAATGAAAATATTCGACCATCTGCGTTACATCAAAATTTACACGGTAAAACTACTATTTAAAGAAAACGGCGAGGAGTCCCAACTACGACTAAAATTTATAGAAAATAATCAGTGTTTAAAACATCTGTAAACTCATGTATATAAACACTTTATTTGTTCCCGTTTAATTTAAACCTGATAGACACGTAAAACGATAAAAAAAATATAAAAAATGTCATAATAACATATCAACAAAGAGAGAATCACGAGGTTTCTTTTCTTCTTTTATTGACGAATATACCTAGTCAATCAATTTCCTTTCAGCACATTTACAGTTCGAAATCATTTGTACTTCAATAGTGTTATTTAAACAGGTTAAATTAAGTCATGCATATTTTATAATATGATCTAGGGCAGATAACACAACTTTCAGATTACATGTTATAATAATCATACTAATACTACAAACTTTAAACGTAAACATTCATTGTTTAAAGCCGTCCCTGAATACCCGTGCTAATTAAAAAAATAACTGCAATCAATTCTAAAACATGGATTTTTCAAACAAATTTCTACGTAAATTCCGATTTTTTGTTTCGTTATGAGAACGGGAATACTGTTATTGCGTTGTTTCATAAAGACAGGCTATCTTTTTGGATGGATATTATATAATCACTGTAAGTTGTATTAATTTTTCTGCCCTCGGATATATTTTTTTTAAATATTATCATAAAGCTTTAATGTGCGTGTTCTGAATAAACCATTTTAATCAAACTATCATTTATAATCATGAAAGAAGCTGGGTTTGGCGCTATATAGTCTTGGATTATAAATCCTTTTATTCGCTTGGTTTTGACTCAAAGCTCAAGATTTTCATTAGTCAGCGTACATTCTGTGCTTCATTCTGACCAATCATAAACACTGTACCTGGAATCTCGGTTTTGCTTTCACGAGCGCACTGCCTGGTTACCTAAATTGGCAGGGCATGGACAGTGAATCGGGAGACTCGGGTTCAATTCGTTCCGATTAATCATGAAATCTTTTCAACGGTCATCTGCATCTCTACTCTGACATGTTCAGAAGAGCGAAAGTGAAGGCATCTAGTACTGGTTAACTGCTTCACAGTCTTGATATTATAAACTATTGCGCATAACTATTTCAATAGACACAAATTAAATTTAATCTTACTGCGTACATCTTACGATATGTTACATAAAATTTATCGAAGATATTGTGTGCATTGACTGTATAATTATTATACAATAACTCGGTATTTTATGGAAAACCAGACAGGTAATAACTTATTACGTGCATTTATTTTTATCCAATCGAAAACGGAACCAATCAAGGTTTTAATTGTTTCATAACATTGGTTTCTATATGAAAAAGTGTTTATAAACAATCAATCAAAGTATAGGAAAACCAATAGAAACAACATCAAGTTCATATTAAATATTAACACTATCTCACTTTTGTTACTGTTATTGGTAAAAAAAATCATTGGTCCGCCATAATTGTATCAGGTCATTTAATACCATTTCAACTTTCTATCGTCATTTTTATCATTGGCGTTCGGATAACATGCACTTTTATCAATTTTGCAATATAAAAAAATGCTTTAATTGAATAAATATACATGTCAAAGTAATGTATATGCATTATAATTGGATTCCCACAATCAAAATTTCGTTAACAATAGTTTAGTTGATATGGCCTGTCTATAAATAGAAATTTTTTTTTCATTGAATTTAATATCAAGGAAGTAGAATTTGTAAGCTGTGTTGTTTTAGGGATTTTATATTAATCACTATAATAATGATTGTGTTTGTTGCTTTCGTTTTTCATAAAAGTATAAAATGTACATGTACATAGTATTTTATTTTACAAGTTTAAGCATAAATACTGTATATAAGACAGCGATATATTTGTTTCTTTCAGGCTGAAAATGGCGGCTGATACTAGTACACATTCCATGCTCTATGATACGGTTTGTATGAGTATAATAAGAAGAAATTATAAATTCCTGGCTACCTGTTCAAATGAAGACCAATGATTGTAGATGATTCAACAAATAACCATTTGTGTCTACGTCATATCAACATTAACGATTAAATTTAAATGAGCCGTGTCACGACAAAACCAACATAATGGGTTTGCGACCAGCATGGATCCGGACCAGCCAGCGCATCCGCGCAGTCTGATCAGGATCCATGCTGTTCGCTTACAGACCCTATAACAAGTAAAACAACTGATAGCGAACAGCATAGATCCTGATCAGACTGCGCGGATGCGCAAGCTGGTCTGGATCCATGCTGGTCGCAAACCCATTATGTTGGTTTTGTCGTGACACGGCTGAAATCTTATTTTGTTGAAATGATGTAAGTCTGAAGGAAGTCAATGTCCCGTTTTAAATATTTCATAAGAGCCATGTGCTATGCAGTAAGAGAACGGTTTTACAAGTTGACCTTTCAATATTGAATGAGCATCAATTTGTGCCACATTCTATGCTAACATGTGATAAAAATATAAACATAAAATCTTGATTAAAAGCAAATCAGAAAATCATTCGATCCAAAAAAAATTGTAAAGAAAACGAAAGAAAGTATTGAATCATTATCTTTTTTCAAGGTGAGAAAGGGAATACATATGAATCAGGACATGTGATTTCAATCTTTGAATCTAAAAAAAATGTTAAAATGATGTTTAAAAAAACTTCTGTGTAGGTAATATACGTTTAATACTGGATCATTGACTAAATTATCATTTCTTCAACTTCATTCTCTTTTTGAGAATGAAAGAATAGAGTTCTTTATGCACACACTTTCTTGCCTTTTTTATCTGGCAGGCTGGTGGTGACAAAAATGACGTTTACAATGAAAGTTGTCAACTTATCCGTCGGATATTAAAACATAAACTTGCCACTGGTTTGATAGTAGCAGGGGCTGTCATAATCGCAATTATTGTTGTAGTTGTTGTTGTTAAAACCAAAGCCAATGATCAAGAAAATGAGCAAGGACAATTTGCTTCTCATCATAAAAGTAAGAAAGTAATTTTAGTGGACTTTTATATAATTATGTAACCAGCGAATCTCATTTTAATTTTATATGGTAATGAAATGTAGGACAGAACAATATTCATGTTAATATTCATAAGTTATAAAAAATAATATGATTATTATAAAGTTCCAATAAAATATGTGTATTTATACTACTCAATTTACTCTGTTAGGCTAATAAAGTTGATGATAACATAGTCGCATGTGTCTTATTAGATAGCATATGTGCATATGTGTATACGTATGTTTATTTATTTTGACCAACAGAATTTGATTATTGCAAAGTCGCATGTCTCTTGTCAGATGCATATATGTATTTACATTTTAAAAATCTTATTTTTGATGACTAGACTGTTGTATAACCATATGCACGCATTGGAATGTTTATTGAGCTTGATGATTTCATAGTCACGTGTCTCTCTATATATTATGCATGCATTTAAAGCGCATACCTTTTCAGATGATACGAGTGACAATGTTAGCCTTCTGATCAACCTTATGGAATGCACAAAGGACACATGCAAAGAATGTGAACAAAACTTTACTGTTGAAGACATCCCTTACGAAGGTGATTTTAAATGTACATTGTTCATAAGATAAATTTTACAGTCCATACAGGTCAAACAAGTATTCAAATTTTCCTGATCCTCACATATAGCTATACATATTTTGCATGCTGCATGATGATTTTAGATTACATTGATAAATAAAAACCTTACAGAATGACAAACACAGTAAAATTGAAAATGTTGCAGGCTTGGGTTCATGACTTGTAGCGGTAAAATCAAGCTACCGTTTAGTGCAAAGCTTAATATTACTAAATTAACCTGTGTTTTATTTAATATTTCGATAACATACACATTTTTTTTCATATGACCGTTATTATAGACCAAATCACTATACGAGTTAACAATTGGACGTTTCACAGTAATTTTGGAATTGAGCTGCTCCTTTTGATTCGGTGTTGCTGTCATTTCCTTTGAATTGTTCTTAAGTTTTTTCTCTTTCAGCACAAGTATGTGGCAGTCAGAACCCAAAGGTAGTGAATTCGAGTAAGTTATGACCTTCACAATTGTAGTGACACACCTATAAAGAAATAGAGATCTAGAAAAAATGTATTAAAGTTTTGTGGTTTCTTCATTGGCTTCCCTTAAATATTGTAATAATCTCATTTGTGCTTTATTCTAGGCTTCGGTAAAAACGTAAGTGATGTGACGAAATTCGATCATTTCATATTAAAAATTCTTGTTCACTCCAAATTACCATTAAGTGATGAGAACTGTTGTGCATATCGTTTTTCTTTGCCTTCAAGACAAATAAAATTTTCTAACAGGTTGATGCATATTTGTAATATATTTTCTGTCTTGTTGCTTATGAACAATTTTAAATCTTTTACAAAATGAAGATGTCAGTCTTATAAACTAATAATAAACAAGAATTTTTCATTTTATAAAACATAAACAAATTATATTAGATTATATTAAATGATATAGAGTTTTATTGGCTTGTCTGTTGTTAGGAGATTATATGTTTTCTACTGTGCTATCATGCAGTATATAAAAGACATTTTATACCGCTTACACAGATTATAATTATGAGCATTGAATGATTTAAACAAATTTGTTTGGTTGTGAAGCGCAGTTTGAGAGTTTATAATTTTGCGCTATACAAATACACTATATTTGTTTAAACAGGAGTAAGTTGAAAACATGTCGATGAGATATTTGAGCCGTGCCATGACAAAACCAACATAGTGCGTTTGCGACCATCATGGATCCAGACCAGCCTGCGCATCCGCGCAGTCTGATCAGGATCCATGCTATTCGCTTACCAATTTTATTACAAGTAGATAGCGAACAGCATGGCCTGATCAGACTGCAGGTCTGGATCCATGCTGGTCGCAAAGGCACTATGTTGGTTTTGTCGTGATACGGCTCATTGGATTATTTTGATTAACATTCATTATTTGGAAGAAGTTTCAGAATAATCATAATGTCTTAGTGAAAAAGGCCTAGATTTTGCAGTTGGTAGTAAATGATGAAACGGTTGTGCAACGAAAATGAAAATGATTTGTTTCAAAAATCGAATTTAAATGTAACAATGTTTTGTTTTGTTGTTGTTGTTGTTGCTGTTGATGTTGCTGTTGCTTCATAGTGGATTTCTGGAGCAGTATTCAACTTCAAATCGTAAAATGCAACAATGTTTTGTTGTTGTTTTTTTGTTGTTGTTGTTGCTTTATCTTCAAACGGTATTAAAATGCAACAATATTTTGTTTTGTTGTTGTTTTTGTTGTTGCTTTATAGTGTATTTCTGAAGTAGTATTCAACTTCAAACGGTATTAAAATGCTGCAATATTTTGTTGTTGTTGTTGTTGTTGCTTTTAAGTGGACTTCTGGAGCAGATTAAATTATTGTTCTAGAATCATTTGTATCTCATTTTCTTGTTCCCTAGATCAAGTGACCTGGAGGTCTCAAAAATATGAATATTTCATAAAGAGAAAAAAATTTAAAATGAATTCAATAGACTTACTCCGGAATTATGAATATTTGGGTTTTCCTAGCTAATCCGTAAGTACAAACAAACTTTTACAGTAACAGCTTCGAAGTCGGCTAATCCATTGTGACCAGTATCCTGAGTATTGCACCGTGAAGCTTTCACGGCAATAATTTGTTTGTACCTATACATATTAGCTGGGGGAAACCCATATTTGCCGAGTTCCGGATACATTAGAAAGTCATTGTTAATTAAGGTAATCACGTTTTTTGCAGCATGCTACCTTTGTAACAATACGTGTTTAACAACGGATGACATTATAGACCTTTGGAATAAAAATATGAGATTGTGTGGGGACAGTCAGCCAGAACACATTACATGTAAGCTTATATATATAAAACATTTCAAAGTATTCAGTTTCAGATATTTTAGTTGTTATTTCTTCTCTTATCTATTTCGTACCACATTTGTTTGTTTGTTTGATTGATTGGATTTAACGTCACACTGACACTGTTATGTCATATGGCGACAATCCAGCTTTACTTGTGGAGGAAGACCTCAGGTACTCTTACGTGCATTATTTCAGGCAAGAACTGGCACCCGAGTAGAACAACCGTAAAGTAGCTGCTTCCTCACATGAAAAAAAAAATCCGAAGTCCTTGTCGGAATGAACCGACAGTGGTGAGGGGACAAGTGGTTTGAAGTCAACGACCTTGTTACACATTTGTAGACTAAGTTCAAAAAAAGATTTTGATTTTGTTTTTAAAATTATTCTATACTTTTCAATTGACATGTGGTAAGAACATATTTTATTCCCATCGCCCCACATTAAATACGAAAGAAAATATTAGTTTAGTTATAATAAGAACGAATCAAAGATTAAGGCCAATATTTTGTATGTTCAAAGGCTGCCTTATTTCAAGCATGAAAAACTTGGACAAACCTTCTCTTGACGGTACATATAAATGCTTCGAAGCTGAGATCCACCAGAAATACAACACGTCACCAATTCAGCCACTTTTTGACTGTCAGCATGGCAAAACTGGAGAAAGGTGTGAAAAACTTAACAAAGTTCCGGTAAGAAGATAAATTTTGATGAATAACATTTTCATTATTGTTTGCATAATTGAGCCGCGTCACGACAAAACCAACTTTATGCGTTTGCGACCAGCATGGATCAAGACCAGCCTGCGCATCCGCGCGTCTGATCAGGATCCCTGGTTTGCTTACCAAACCCCATTACAAAATAGAGAAATGATAGGAAAAAGCTTGGGTCCTGATCGACTGTGCGGTTGCGATGCGGGTCTGGACCTGCGGGCGAAAAACTAGTTGGTTTTTTTCGTGACGCCCCCTCAAAATTTTTATTAAAAATTTTATTTTTTTCGTAAAATTTTTCTAGGTTTTATGAAAACCCTAAAAAGAGGTTTTTTATTGGGATGTGCACACCCAAAGCTATTCTATTAAAACTAACAAAAAGAAGTGAAATTTTTTAAGGGGGTGAAATTTTTCTTTTAATAACAAACTTTATAGTTTTAAAAATTTTAAAATTTTACATAAATTGAGAAAACAATTTCTTTGTATTTTTATTTTTAATGTTAAAAAAGTCCGATACTTTTATTTTAAATCAAGTATAAAGGGAAATTTAAAAAAAGAAACAAACGTTGATGAAAAACAAAAAAATATTTCAGTTTTATTATAAATTAGAAAAAATTTATTTTACTTGATCTAAAAAAGAGAGAGAACAAAAAGGGAATGTTAAAAGAACGCCTAAAATTAAATTTCATTGGCCCCCAATTTCAAAATATAGGTGTTTTCCCTATTTGGGGAAAAAACCCCCTTTATTTTGGGTCACAAGGGCAAATGTCAATCATATTACCTTAAAACTAAAACGTTTCCAGAAATAACTTAAATTTCCCTTTGGCCACAGTGTTCAAAACTTCACAGGATGATAGTCCATATTGGGTATAAGAGCCCTATTGATTTTGGGGTCACAAGGTCAAAGGTCAATGTCATTATTACTTTAAAACTGAAAACAGTTTCCATACCATAACTTAAGTTTCACTTGGCCCACAGTGTTCAAACTACATAGGATGATTGTCCATATTGGGTAGAACACCCCTATTGATTTTGGGGTCACAATGTCAAAGTTCAAGGTCACTTTTACCTTAAAACTGAAAACAGTTTCCGGAGCATAACTTAAGGTCCATATGGCCCACAATATTCAAACTTCATAGCAGGATTGCTATTTGAAGGAGGTAATACTTTATTTAATTACCATGTCTTACAAATGCTTCATCCGTAATAAAAAAAATAAACACTTGCGGGCATAAAATGCTCCGCCTAGCGGTGCTCTTGTTATCATTATTATAATATTTTTTATTACAGTTCTATTGCAAGTGTTATGCCTTGGATAACAAGTTCCATAACCAAGAGAACATGACGGAATGCGCAAGTATTCCAGATAAACCTTCCTGCCATACATCGATCCAAGGACGAAATTGTATGTGCACGCGACTTCCTGGTAAGATAAATTTTGGAAAATCGTATTCAGCTTTATGCTGTCTTCTACCTTTTACACCAATATTTTAAAATATGAGCCGCGTCACGACAAAACCAACATAATGGGTTTGCGACCAGCATGGATCCAGACCAGCCTGCGCATCCGCGCAGTCTGATCAGGATCCATGCTGGTCGCAAACGCATTATGTTGGTTTTGTCATGACACGGCTCAATTATTTCGATATAGTTATCATTAAGCTTTGTTTTACTCAAGTTTTGTCGTTTGTTTGGGAGTAAATATACATGCGTTTGATGTCTGTTTTGTTTTAATTTTCACTGTTATGTTTAGCTTCAGATGACTTTTGTCTTTTTACCACATTCACAAACGACAGGTGCTCGTTTGCTTTGTTTTACAACGTGTTTTAGTGTTGTTGTTGTTTATTATTTATTTATTTCTATGTAGACTATTTCGAACTGATGGCCCTAAAATACCATCAAAATACCTTTCGAGATTCAAACTTCCGTTCTTGTTGTTGTTTATGTTGAGAGTTTATAACACAAAAAACACTGTTTCTTTTTCAGAAAAGGAAACTCGACGGCTTACACAATGTTGAAGACCATGGATATTTATCATCACAGAAATCTCTGAAAGTTACTTCAAAATGAAATCAATGCTAAAAACAAATAACAAACATGGTTTGAATGAAGTTTTATTCTTTGACCCACTTCTTTTGATAAGATATATACTTTCATATTGTGACATCAGGGAGCGTGTTTTTATTTTTGACTATGATACAAAAGGGAAAGAACATCAAAACATCCGTCAATCTGATTTATACTCGGGGGCTACGCTTCTTCGTACAAATCAGATAGCCTCGTGTTTCGATGCTCTTTCTATTACTTATTTAGTAACGATTAGCAACAGTTATCTATGTAATATGTATAGTTAGTCTGTAGTATAAATGTGTACATGTATTTGAAAGTATGAATTTTTTGAAGCCAAATGATATGACTCTTCTTAAATTTTTCAATACATCATTTCTGTACAGAATGAATTTTAAACAAAAAAAGTGATTTTTTACAGCCGACAAGTATATTAGTCAAATTATTCAAATAATTATTATGCTTATGAAAAAATGGTGTTGCGACTGTAAAAACAACTTAAAAGGGTTATTCTTTTGTCAAATTGATAGTTTTATGCATCAATGATTTTTTGTCAAATTGATAGTTTTATGCATCACTGATTTAGAGCACATACTCATGCAATCAGCTCAAAATATTTTTGTTGCTGTTGTTGTTGTTGTTGTTTTGTGAGATGTAGTAATTTTATATCAGCGGGAACTGGGAAATTATAAATAGTTAAATATCATTTATAATGATATGTTGTACATGGAAATCAGTAGTTTATATTATAGAGTATTGTAGATAACATTGCAATGAAAATCCAAAAATAAGTCAATCAAAATTTTGTGTTGAAATTTATAGACAGGCAGCAGCATTTAAGCTCGATTATTCCAAGAATAGTGGCAGCTATTGTACCCACCATGAATTAACTAGGCGTCAGAGTCGGTGACGGCGTCGGCGTCACACTTTGGTTGTGTTTTTCTTTGCACGTTCGTATCTTCAAAACTAATGAAGTGAATAGGTTGAAACTTCACACACTAACTTAAGAGCATAATGGGAGCTCATCCAGGTCCATAATTATTTTAACATAGATTTTGACAGAATTATGGCCCCTTTTAAACTTAGAAAATTCTACATTATCCATTATTATTATTGTTTTTCAAGCACTGAGAATAGTCGGACAAACTTTCCTACTGACAGCTCTTGTCCTGTATACCGTACAGTATTCAGACATGTTTTTTTCATGCACACAGTCAAAACTGATTCATACCCTGAAAGTCGTAAATTCATTTAACACAATGAGCCGCGTCACGACAAAACCAACATAGTGTATCTGCGACCAGCATGGATCCAGACCAGCCTGCGCAATCCGCGCAGTCTGATCAGGATCCATGCTGTTCGCTATCAGTTTCTCTACTTGTAATAGGGTTTGTAAGCGAACAGCATGGATCCTGATCAGACTGCGCGGATGCGCAGGCTGGTCTGGATCCATGCTGGTCGCAAACGCATTACGTTGGTTTTGTCATTACGCGGCTCATATAAATAAAAACATTGTGGTTATTTATTTTGTATTTATGTGTCATATTGTAAGCTTTATCTTGAATAACATTAAAGTGTATAAAGCTATATATTACGAAATTTGGACTACAAAATCTATCAACACTAAAATTATATTGTTTCCATGATATTATGGTCGATTCTCGGAAAGTTATAACATAGAATGTCTCTGTTATTCAACACTCATGAATATTGTATGAAAAAAAAATAAAATACAAAATATAATGTGGCTTTTTCAAGTAGGGTTTTAACTGTTTACGCAGTGATTTCGTACATGCGTTATTCGCTTTTAAGGTAATATTCTTCCACATCATTTTTATACAAACATTTCGAAAGATTTTTTTTTTGTATTTTTTTTATTCAAGCAATAATTTTTGCAGCATATATATAGCTTTATACTCTTCAATAAATCTGTCTTTTTTTTATGCTGCATTTTAAATGCTGTCATATGCTTTCTTAATTGTCAATTTTATTATTTCTATGTTGCTTTTTCAATGTTAAAATGTACCATTTTTACTGTCACAACGTAAGTTTATGACTTCAAGGTACTTCACAAAGTCTTAACCATAGAATTTAAAATTCTTCAATAAATCAACCGAGGACCTATAGATTTATAGTAATACATTTAGAATCGATTAAAAACTATTCTTAGATCGGTTTGTGTTAAAAGCGTGGAAATCTTTTTCATTTCGCGTAATTAAAAATTATCATTTTTGAAAAACATGAAGTTAATGATCTTAACTTTTTTCCTCCAAGTTGTTTGTCCAGATCTACATCAATTATTTCAGAAATCTCGAAAGAGTTTTTCAAGTCTCTTTTAAGTATGAATTGAATAGACAGCATTTCAAAGCAATGATACAATAACTGTAATGATCTGACATTCTAATCTAGTATAATTGTGTGTTTTACAACAGAACTTGCAATGAAATCCCAGTGACATTTGACATTCTATAGCTATATACATGTATATTTCCCAAGGAACACTGTATTGACACTGTTAGAAATGTTAAACTTACCTTTATGTGTAGCAGAAAATTGATTCACTTCTTATTTTTGGCAGACGTCTTACAGTGCAGTATTCACACATCTTTTTTTATGAACTCAGTTAAACTTCCTCATTCCCTGATGTATGGAAGCCTTGGAGGGTCACTTTTGAGTTTCGACTTATAGATTTATTTTACTATTTTCTTATGACTTTTGATTTATGACTTTTGATTTATGACTTTTGATTTTCTTATGGATTTTTTTACTGTCCCCCGTGCTTGCCCTTATTTCCCAAGGAAAAAAACGGGAGAATATGAACAACGATTCAGACGAGGTAAGTACATTTACCTAAGTTTCTTGGAGACTTATTTATAAACAAAATATGTGGGTACATATGCAAGGACAGATGCTATTCTTATATAAGCCTTTTAATTGATTAAAAAAGAAAAATATATTTGCTTGCATTGCATTGCATTTGGTATCCATTTTTTATTTTGATTTCCGGATCAGGGAATATATAATCTCAATGACATACAGCGTATGAATCAAACGCTTTATTTTTTATGTAGGTTCCAGTTTTAAATCCAAATCAGTCTCACATTGTTGTTTTGCTGCAGTTTCAATCGGTTTCCATCCGTAGTTCATTCTTCGTTTATCTTATATTGAATAGAGACCAAATTATAGGCCTTATTTTTGACAAAGAAATTTGTAATTAAGAAGTTTCATGAAACATGGTATTTCAAAAAACAATAAATCATACAGCTTTGAAACTTCACACACTTCAGACACTTAAGTAATAAATCTCTGGAATTGGCATTGTTATCAAAGTATGCCTCTTTTTCGACTTTGAATTTGTTGTTTAGAATTTTCATGAAAAATGGTTTCGCAAAAACTATTTAGCGATTCCTTTTGAAACTTAAAACACATTTTAAGTGTTGACATCTAAGGTCAATGACCAAGTTTCGTATGAGTGGCTCACAATTTGACATACTTATGCCCTTTTTTAAAGCTAAAATGATTTGTCAGAAGGTTTATATGAAATATGGTCCCATAAACCAGTTATGATATAATATTGAAACTTTATTATTCACTTGTTCAATATCAATAACTTAGGACATCTACCAAGTACAAAGTACATGTTATTTGTATATAACTTTTGAATACAGTTATGTATTAAGGGATTTTTTGTATTTCATTTTGTATATATAGGTATTTTTCATTTCAATTGAGATAACACATACTTTTAATGTTTTCAAAATTAAATTCTATTAAAGCTACCTGTAGGGATTAAGGACGTGCTGTCGAATGTTTCAACTACAAAGCAGTTGCAAGAGCATCAGCAATGCATATTTTGTCAAGTTTGCGGAGCCAGTTTTAGAAAACTATGAGGTTTCATTGCAACACAGCGTTCGTTCCGAGTGGAAAGTAGTACAGTTTAGCAAATGCAAAATGTGCAAACCACTGGTGATTTGGTTTTCTTCGTTATTGTCTATGGAAATATTCAGACATTTTCGGAATACGAGGGTTAACCTATTCACACTTGTTTCAGACGCTCGACAACCCCACCATTTATTGTGGACGCTTATTGGAACACACAATGTCACGTCCCGCCACGTTTATTTTATATTGTCCATATCTCCAATATGGTATAAAACTTGTATCGATAGACAGGTCACCGTGAGAGAAAGAAAGGTGTGAAAGAATCATTGAATTTCACAATTCTGGCTTTCATATTTTCAGTATTTGCCCATTGTAAATTTTAAACTTATATGAAAGGTATCGAAATCATACTTTGCATGTTCATATAGGCTCGGCGAGGCAGAAAGAAACATACTCCTTAGCTAACCATAAATTTTAGAAAGTCTTAGTTTTTTATTGTTTTTTTTTTTCATACTTAGATTTTGTTAAGCTCATAATTTTACTCAAAAACTGTTGAAGGCAACTTGAATCTTACTGGCAGATATATTCTCGGCGAGACAGAGTGCATTGTATTGTTAACAAAACTTTGTTATAAATTAAATCGTTCTCCTAAGTTAAAAAACCCTTTTTTGACATGGACATGCCGTGGGTGGGGTATGCTCATTACGAACAGACTATGAGATTTCCTTTACATATAAAATTGGTCATACTTCGGGAAAATGTGGACGTTATTTAAAGTTAACTAGGAATCTTTGCGAGAGTGGACTGTGTTTTTTTTTTCTTTCTTTTGAACATGTAGAAATGACGAAATAACGCTCTGAACAATGATTTTAAAAATCTTGACTTCAATAAATAATTACAAAACACTGCTAACGTTGCTAATTTACCTATTATCTTATGTTTCAAACAACGCTTTGTTAAAACACTCATGATTTTCCTAGTTTTCATCAGTAACGTATCACAAATGTGTTGTTTTTAGAAATATTGCATGCTATAATGTCTTCTGTTGACGTAAATACTTGAAGTTTTTGTTGATGGCAGTGTTCATTTTTAAGCTGTTCCTTAGTGTTAGCTTTTAAGTAAGGCATATGTGCTATTTTAGAAAAAAATGCTTAGCCTCTTGTATTTCTTATCTCTCTTTTTTTAAATCAAATATAAGAAGCTCACAAATCAGTTTGTTTGCAATATAATACATTTGTTTCCTATAAAAACAATCAATTTAAACAAAAATAAAGCACGGTAAATTAGAAAGTGTTGTTATCTGTAAACGCATTTATCCAAAACATTATTGATACTCTGCCAACCTGTCAAGGTCAGACCGTAGTAAAAAAACCTCGTAACGGCTCTCGGTAAGGAAATGCTGAGATGCTGTTCCACACAGTACTTCTATATTGATGAATCCTATTCACTTGCTCATTTTAACCCTACATATAATTTAATGGAAACATGACCTACATAAAATAAATAAACTATCTCTGTAACATAAATACTGTTATTTCGATAGTTAAATCAATAATTTGTTATAACAAAGTTACACATACACAATAATAAATTGTAAACAATGAGGACATGATTTTATCATTCCATGAGCCAGTATTAAAATCATGCATTTTATCTAACTTACAACATTTGAAAATGATATATCTCGCTCGACCTTCGTCTTGCCGAGATATCATTTTTCCACCGCTGCTCGTAGCAATATACAAAAGCTAAAAAAGCTACTACTACCATAATATTCCGATTTATATCTTCGTTAATTTAATGTATAATAATGCATAACGCTTGTTCCCCATCTTTAATAGTGAACACGGAAAAAATAGCGTACCAGTCAACCGTGACTAAATTCAACCAAAAGAATTAAATAATCTATTTCAAAGATGTAAATATGTTAATGAAAAATTGTAATAAAGCACAATCATCTAGAAAATAGCTCAGAACGTTAATCTGAATAAAAATCTTATTTATCAATAACAGTTTATTTACTTTTATACTTAATGCTGCAGACGGACACTATGAATAGAATGTTCCGAATTAAACCTTCTATACATAGATTTTACAAAAACAATTGAATGTTGATTCTTCACGTAAAAAAGATCACTATCATATGACTAAATCATATGAATGCAAAATTTCTATTGCAAAAATGAGGCTAGTGGCTTAAATGTACTTGTAAACATTATATGACTTCAACACCACTCTCGGCTGATGTGCTCCCTTGCGTGTGGTGACTGATACAAATTTGCTTATTGCACAACTAAAATCAGTTAAACTAAGTTATACCAAGGCAAGAAAGTTAACAGCAAATCCAAAAGTTATAAGTCAAAAGATAAATCA